CCCATTTTTCTTATTCTTCTGTTGTCTTACATTTATTTTCCAATTGTTGATAACTCACCCAAACCAGCGCCAGTTTAGCTCTAGAACTGGCGTAGTGAGAAAATACCCTCAATAGGGTTTTTTTCAGTACCTATGCCAGCCAGTTGAACGGTCTCTGCTGTGTCAGCTCAGCTGGGAAGCTATAGAACTGCTTCTTTTTTTAATTTAAAAGACTGTCGGACATAACAGGGAGTTAAAACTCTTACTTTTATCTGGAGCTGATTTTTTATAGTTTGAAAATAATTTTTTTTTTTCGTAATTCAGACGTTAACTGGAAATGTGACATTTTAATATGATGAAACAATAATCGACAGACTCACCTTAGACTTTAGAGGAAGACAAGAAAAAGTCAGGTATTCTGTTCACAAATCTATACAAACCACTTCATCCAACAAAAGGATCACTAAACTGGATGGATGGGTGGGTGTGGGTCTAGTGTAATAGTGCTTTGAGTGGTCAGTACGACTGGAAAAGCACAGTATAAATTCAGTCCATTTACCAGTTATCTCCCAGTTATTGGTATGAAATATGAAGGGACTGTCCAATGCACGTTTTATGGGCTGTGCTACTTGTCGATACTACAAGGTACTTTTCTTTACTTACAAGATGTTTACTGTATTTATCGAAGTAAAACATGACATACTCAGTCAGTGATTTACAGACAACCTGAGACAACTTTTAAAGAGCCTCATCTTTCTCCCCATAGATGTTCACTGCTGTACACCACTGTGAGGGTGGTTGTTGTTTTAGGAAAAAATCTGAAATGTGAAAATTTTTGCAGACATTTTCACAGAACAGGAACCCCTTTTTTTCCCATGCTGTACGTTATCTCATCATCTTTTTGGTGTATCCCAAAAAATGTTTCTATGAGTCAATGAGTCAAGACAAGAATCATATTTTTTTATTTAAAATGCCCTTTCTTTAATGTGTATTTACTGCTTTGAATACTCCTGTTTATTAAAATGCCTAACTGGCATGATTGGTGTAGCTATACTGTAGTTTATAGTGTGCTACTGCGCAAAAACAATCTCTCTCTCTTAGTGTTCACATGATCATCTCAGTCAGAATGTTACAGAATGTTCTATATTCAATCTACAGTACGAATGCCTCCAACTGGTAAAACCATTATTTGATTCATTAACTACAAAGTAGGTTGTCATTTTCAGTTAGAGCCAACTCAAGCAATCAGCATGCTGAGCTGAGTGAATCTTTAACATAGCATCCCTTTTGCATTGTTTGGAGGTTATTAACTAGGCCTACATGCAGTGTATGATATTTCAGAGTTTTCCAATATTGTCCTAACACTTATCTTAAACATTAGATGACAGACAGACTAAACTGGAGATCACATGAAGATGAACAGTGTTTTATACCTAGTAAGGCGTTGCTGGAGAATAATTTAGTTAAAGCAACACATCTTTGAACAACATTGTAATAGAGGGTGGATAAGGAAGTGCGAGCATGGATGTTTAGGTGTATGATAGAGGTTTATAGGAATCAATCTGAGTATGTCTGTTTGTGAAGAAATTAAGAATGAAAAATGGAGAATGCACCTCCCATCTTTTCCACAGTTTCACCAACCAACCTCTTGTGTTTTCTGCTTCCACATGGCTGCAGATTTTCATCTGTTGTTTCAGCCCCTGCAGTAGGATTTTTTTTCTCTCTTGTGAGTCATTTTGCTCTTCACCTATAGTAGACGCTATCCACTGCCTCTCAGCTTCTGCCTCCTCACATCATTCTCCCTTGCACAGGGATGAAAAAGGACATACTAGTTTATATCTTCTCCCTTCCTACTTACAATATTTACTTTAACAAGGTCAAACAGCATTAAATTGTTCACAATCTGAACACTTAGTTGTGTTGGACAGCTAAAGATATGTGGCCCTCCAGGCGATTTATTCTTGCTTCCTATAAGAGGATGAAACAGTCTTGATTTTTCCTGTTATCCTAATGTGAACCAAATTTCTGGTGCAGCTGAATAATTGATGAAAACAAGTTGCATGAATTTGTTGATGCTAAAACGCAAAATGGTTTCATTTATGGGTTACATACAAAAAACGCCCCCATAATGACTTTTTCTAAGACTCTTGATGCTGCCTTCATAGATTCAACTAAACAGGGTAACACATATGTTTTCCCCAGCCTTTGATTATAGATCTATATCTGATAACTTGTTATATTTACCTTTAAGCTGATCTTCAGATGTAATAAAGTGACATATCATAGAATGTACTGCCTTCTATCTACAGGTTAGAAAAGCAAACGCATTAGCTTATTGTTGCACTCAGCAATCAGACTAACAGAAACAGGAAACTGTTGTTAATAACAGTGTAATTCTCAACATATGTTCTTTCATGCTATACTCTGATAAAAGGAAAACATAACTATTTGATAATACTGATGAACGTTGCAAAATGATGTATGAATAAACTGCTAAATAAACAAAAGGTTGAAATGGCTTTGGGGTCATGGCAGACGCTGATCCTTATAATGAGCAATCTATCCAGATAATTGAAAGGGAAACACATTATTTTCATCTCATTAAGAAGGTTTTATTTGAATTATATATAAAATCAAATATTTTATAACCAGAGCCTCAAGGTGGGGTACCTATTAATAAAAGATTAGTTGAAATTTGTATATTTTAAGCACCATACAGTACATCTAGTTTAATGTAAGATGGGTCATTCATTTTAATGGTGTCAGAACTAAAAAGTCCAGTTAAAAGCAGTACGGAGAGGCTAGTCAATCCAAGGCAAAGTGTTCCTAGCCTGTCCAGCCAGACTGACTCAAGCCACCTACACAGCATATCCTAGAAAGAAGCACATTTTCAAAGGCATGGCTAAAATGTAAAATATATATACATCTGTAGTTGCGTAAGTATGGTTATAGATACATGTTGAATTATGGACCCGCCTTCCACATTTTGATTGGTTGGGCATGTTCTAAACTGCAGAATATTGAGCCTTCCCAGAATGACTTATGTCCTGTATATGTAAGTGTGGCTGGCCAGTCTAGAGCTCCACAGCTGGGGCCAACAGTCACCAACTGGAACTGCACAGCAATAAGCAACCAATATGGTTTCTGCCCATACTAACAGTAATAAATGAAAGTAGCCTTAATTATTACACTAAAACTACATGGTTGAGATCTGTAGCTGGACTGTTATTTGTGTTGCTTAGTAAAGAATATAGTAGGAATGTTTTGCTGCTGTCGCTACTGCTACCAAGCAAGTCGGGTACATTGAGTTTTAAAGTAGTTTTTTGTGATTGCCTGACTGACTAATATGAATTTTGACTTCTAGAGTTATTTGGAATGATTTTTGTGATCTAAAAGCGGAATTTAGAAAAAACTAACTTTACGGATGAAAATTTCTTTGTCCCTGATTTGGAGCCAGTTGGGAACAGGGCTGATTGATTTTTTTTTTTTTATCACTATTTATATGATTGTTTTTACCACTTAACGTTCCATCTATATTCTAATAATAAGCCGATTAAAAAATGGCTAATTTTTCCCAAATATTTTTTTATTCATTTTCAAATAATATCATTTAATAGACATAATAAAAACAACATGTCTCTCACACACACACATTTACCCTCAGAGACCTGCACCTATCATAGAGAAAAAGTAAAATTTGTATGTAAAGTTATAAGTTACAAGAAAATTCGATTCAAATAATAATAAGGCAAATAAACAAAATAATAAAAAAAAAGATAGAAAGGCAGAAATGGTATGGTCTTACTTTACAGATGACATATAATAACAAAGTCCTTACTTTTACACTTGGATATATGCGTTAGTCTTTCCAGTCTAATGCACTGTGAAATTTCTTTTAGCAATTGTTTTATATAAGGTGCTTCTATGCTCTTCCAGTTTAAAGCAATAGCTCTTCTGGCATGTAACAATCTAAAGTCCAATAGTCTAGTTTTTGTCTTTGTTTGTGAGAAACCAGTAGGATGTATTCCCAGTACAGAGAGTTTGTCACAAAATGGAATTATGGGATTAAACAAAACAACAATGTCTTTAGGTGCTAGCAATCTTCCAATTCATTAGGTTGGACATAACATTACTTTCTGCACTAAAGATGCTGTTTTTTATTGGTTTTATGTTATATTTTGATTTTGTGATAAACTGATTCATTAGCTGTGGGTCATAATCATTCAAATGACCAGAAATACACATCTGTACAACCACATTCTGTTTTACTTGACCTGAAAATATTTCACTGCCTAATGCCTAAATGATATACACCTGTACATTTGAAATATGTGAAACCTCAATGGCCAAATAAAAAGCCCCAAAAAAGCCCCCAATCTTTTAATTTGCTGAGTCATTGTTTTGTTATGCAGCTTTTACTCCTTCCTGACAGTCAGGCACCTTGGCTAATTCTGGATTCGCTTTTTGTCATAATTGCCTGAAGAAAAGCAAAGTTAACTGTGCCAGACAAAAAGCTATTTTTATCCATGAATGTCCCCATTTCAGAGAAATTCATTATGCGTGCTTTTGAGGAGTGGATTTTGGGATGTTTGATGGTTTGTTGCAGCTACTGTTGGACATCAGCTGCATATAAACAATCCCAACTAAAGACCAACAAACTAACAAATGGATTTCTGACCCATTTTTCATCTTCCAGCAATGCCTCGGACATTTTTAATGACTCCTCTAACTTTCTGTGATGAATTCACTCCAGGAGCCCCTTAGTGCATAAAAGAATTCCACTGGCATGCATAATGTCTAAACAGAAACATAAAGCTAATTAGCAAGCAAAGATTAACAGTTTACTTTAAAATATGGCAGTTTAAAAGATTAGATTATCATAAAATGGAGTGCTGCCAAAAAAGCCCTAACTGCTTTTGTTTTTTTCCAGATGTACCATTTAGTGTAGCAGATCAGGAGCCTATCAGTATTGAAAATCAGAATGTAGCTTGTTGTTAAATAACTCCCCTCAATGTTTGCAGGGAGGTTGCACAGATTGACCAGTTCCTTCAGGAGACGGCAGCAAGGGAAGCCAACGCCAAGGTGCGTCTGCAGCAGTTCATCGAGGAGCTTCTGGACCGCGCCGACCGTGCAGAGAAACAGCTGCAGATCATCAGCAGCTGCGGCACCACGCCCAACGGCAGCCTGGGACGCTGCAGCCTGCAGGCCTCCAAGGGCACTGGGCGCCAGGTTGGAGTCTTTTCACATAATTGTTGAGGTTGATAGTCTGAACCTAATATTCTAGATATGCATTACATTTTCATTCTTTCAGTGACATTTTATTTGCATTTTTAAAAAAATTATAAGATAAAAATCCCTTAAAATCTCATCAATCTTCTTAATCATATAGAGTAAGACGATTAATAATTTTTATTTTTATGTACTATACTAGTTACAGACATATTTAAATTGTTAGGCCTACAAATAGTCAGAATGCCTTAGCTGAAAGATCAGGGAGATTTCTGGATTAAGTTCCTACAACAGGAGTCCTCAGATGATCCAGCTGATGTTTCCAGAATATTGAGACCTCAAGGTGAAACAGGAAGTATGATTCTGATCTGTTTATCATTCAACACCACATCAGTGAGAACATTGAGCCTCTGCTGCAGTTTATCCTGACCAGAGAGCGAATATATAAAGAGGATCCTCTTTTACTCACATCCGTCTTTTTGCCTCCAGGCTCAGTGTGTGAAATGTGCCACTCCCCCCTTATGCTTTGCCTTATTACACAACAATGGGAGAAAAAAATCTAAAAGCAGGCAATGGTTGTTCTTAAAATGCCACATTTTTAAATTATTATCTAACACCTGTGAAAAAAAAATGACCTGCTCCATATTCTAGAAATGTGTGCGCTGCCATGGAAACTAACTCCTGCTTTCCATCAAGGCTTTAGCAGGATTTTTAATCAGATCTGTCTGAAACCAATTTTTGCTTTTGTATTTAAGTAAGTCTGTGTTAAATGCATTTACCTAAAATTCCTGCAGATACTGCATAGATTATAGATCCCTCCTGTAATGCAATCTTCTCAATGTTTATGATATGCAAAAATTTATACATTAGTTGACTTAGAATTCCTTCTCAATGCAGGTGAGGCATTTTAAGTGTTACATTTATTTACTTGTTTAGGAACATCTAGTTTAAAACTGTACTACATTACATAGTGGTATCTTTTAGCCCCCAAATCTCCTTGACAACATTTAGACACTATGTAGATGCCAAATCGTTGTATTCAAGCCATTCCAGCAAAAAGCCTCTTCTGCCCTACCATCACAAATATAAACAGTTAACTAAACCCATCTGGGACTTTAACTGCTTTGATAGCTTTGATAGCTGTGGAAAAGTAGATAATGGTTCCTCTAATAAAAGTTGGGGAATTTGTGATGCATTTGTTCTTCTAAAAAAAAAAAAGCCCATAGAAAATTGTTAGAGGTCATTGCATTAGGAAGTCTTTAAAGTAGCAGGAAATTTATATAAAAACAATCTGGTGGAATCTAGAGGTATATTAATAAATTTTGTCTATATATCTATAAGTACGATAAAGGTCCAAATAGGGCTGAAATAATTAATCGGATTAATCGATTATTGAAATAATTGTCAATTAATTAGTAATCAATTTATCATTAACTATAGAGACTCTAAAACATGCCTTTGGCTGACAGAGCAACCCAGTTATAGCAGTAATTATACCAAACAAAAAAAGACATTTTAGATGAAAAACATTTTCTTCTGTCAATATGATCTATCAAAAGCTACTCAAGTGGAAAAGTTTGAGTTTCACCTCATTTAATTTAGTAAAAAATCTTTTTTAAGGAATCTTTTGCTATCTGATTATTAATCGATTAGTCAAAACAATAATTGACCGATTAATTGATTTGCAAAATAATCGTTAGTTGTTGCCCTAAGTCAAAAACTTATTGCAAAATCCAAAAATAAACACAGATGTTCTTTAACTGACACAAAATCGATCCTATTTTATGTTCCTCTCAGTCTGTAGATCTAGTTACGATTAAAAACCTGTAAGTAGAACTAAAGAGAGGAGAGCGTATTGCCATTTTCAGCATAAGCAAATGCTCAGGTGTCACATATAAGCCAGTAAATTACATTTTATTCCAAATTGGGCTGGAAAGTTGCACATATGCTTTTACCATGATCACTTGAAACTGTGCTGTGATATTAACTGACCAAAGATGTTGCCTAAATTGGGATGCATTCTGTACGGATGTGAGTTACTTCTCAGTTTCCTGTTTTCATGCATGTGCACTGTTGCCAGACTTTGAAAAATCAGCATGAAGATTGCAAGTGTGGTGTCACGCACAAACCACTTGGCACCTCATAAGTCTGTGAAGGGTAGCCCGGAGATGTCACCCAACCAGCCACCTACCTTCACAGCCTCTCTTCATTCCTCCACCCCTCCATCCGGTGTCAGCAGGGTGTCCCTCATCTCCGTGGAGACGGGACTGAAAGCCAAAGACTTATTTGAGAGCTGACACTCGAGTAGACTTGTTTCCGGCCCTGAATTTAATTCCAGGCTGTTTCGAAGGCTTCTCTCAGGAAACAAAGGGAACGCAGCTTGTAGTGTCATGGTTTGGTGAATTTTTTTTTTGGTTTGTTACAGCAGGACCATGAGGGCTAGAAGCCAAATGTACTTGAATTGGGTCCAGACATTCTCAGATGAATGCATCTATTTCATCCATGTTTTCTAATGTCTTTTTCTGCTGTGTGTGTCGGTATGAGAGCCTCAGACAGTTTGCCTATTTTCCTGTGTCCATTTTCACAGGCGCTTAGTCCTAAAACAGGCTGCATGGGGAAAGCAGTGGAAGGAAAGAGAAGGGAAACTGGTTGTTTGCTTTCCCTCTGAGGCATGACATTACACAAACCTACACCTGGCCCTACTTCACACACGTGTATGCGCCGTCTCATGCAAACAGTGCTTCATTGATCTGGAATCCTGGAGTCATGTGTGACAAAGTAATGAAAGTAAACTGTCCCCCCCAAAAAAACGCAAGAGTCTGATTATAAGACCTATGAACAAATAGCATTATCTCCTTTTTTTAAGGGGCCATGTGATGTAATCGATGTTTTTTCCTGGTATTTCAACAGTTTGTGGAAGGTTGTATTTATTAATCTGTTTGTACAGTATATTTCCCCAACAATAACCTACAGTAGCAGCCATTTAAATTGGCCCTTCTTAGTCAAACGCCAGCCGAATGGCAGCCAGCCTCCAGCCACTAGAGTGACCCCCTTCTTCTCATGGGCATGCATAATTTTTTACTCTGACTCCACCCTGTCACTGAATTACAGGGTCTGACCAGGAGAAGGCGCTTCTCTTTAGATCTTAATGTCCACAAATCATGACAAAGAATATTTTAGTAGAAAGGTTGATGTTTAAAAAAGGAATCTTAGGGGACCAGCCAAGGAAAGTGGGGAAATTTTGAATGGCTGCTACTGTATGTTAAACAGTGTCATGATGATGCAAGAATGTGATAAATATAATTTCATAATAATTTTGAGTGGATTTCCCCCTTTTCCAGTTTTAACGTAAGCTTTAAAGAACCAATACAGACTTGCTAAAAAACTTCCAAATATATCTACCCCACTGTGAGGGATTATTATTTGAATTAAAAGCAGATACATCTCCACATTATCTACACAGACACAAATCAGCTTGAAGGCCTGATCAGATCAAAAATTGTTTAGTGTAAAAATGTACGACTGAAGATTCTAATCCGATTGTAAAGAAATTTCCTTTTAAAAGAGAGAGGAGATTTTTGCTGATCGCCATTCCAATTGGCATCCATGCACACAGGTATTCAATGCTTTGAAGGAAATTATCCCCACTTTGGATGTGTGCAACATCAAGTTGATGTTTTTCTGGTAAATCATACAGTTCTCTGCATTGCTCAAATGATTAAATCCTTGTTACATACATCATGATCAGATCATGTTATTTAATGCTCATGTAAACAGAGATTTTGAATTTCCAATTATATATCATATGTGGGAATTTTTTCAAATGTAAACATACTGTAGCTACTGAGTGTGTGAACAACATGGTTTATTAAGTTGAATCTAAATAATAAACCAATTAAATCTTTTAGTATTATGCCTCGAATACAAGCCATTAGCACTACAGGATTGTTAACAATCCCTGAAGGAAAACAATGAGTTTATCTTGCTATTCTACATTCAGCATATATAACAACAGAGAGGGTTGGTAAAGCCATAACAAAAAAATAGATAAATAAATCGGAGAAACTTAAGCCCTTTTCCAGACAAAAATCGATTTGGGTATATCTAAAAACTTCTTGGTCGGATCGCTTCCATCCACACAAAGTGGTTGAAAGAATGACATTTGAAAGCTGGGAAAGTTTCAAGCCTCCGTCTGGATTCATCTTTCTGCATAACAAACTAGCATTGCTGTTAATGCGAGCCAACGTAGGCCTTTAAACCGTACAGCGCACGCAGACACAAATGGCAGACATTGTGTTTCAGCAATGCAGTCTATTGTGGATTCTACATCAACACATTTGGCCAACATAACAGACTCTTATCTCTCTTGTTAAATTTTATACATCCTTCATCTCCCTTCTTCTAACTCCTTGGTGGCATTGTGAGCCATACATGCCTTCTGTTTAGGCACTGTGCTTCTCTGCACGAAGCCAACTGTTCTTCACTTAACTGATTCACATTCATGTGGATGTGGCTTATATGTAACACCTTTAGCCTTTTGTTTATCTGCTGACTTCTCCTTGATGTCATTTTGCCCTATCTCCCGTTTTAAATGTCTCTAAGATAAATAAAGATTAAAAGCTGGTGTTAGACGGCTTGTTTTCATTCCTGAAAAAGCCCAGAGAAAAAGAACAAGGTCTAGCCCGCTGTTTAGAGAGCTTCTTACACCTTTTGTGTTTCCCTGTCCTTATTCAACACCCCCACTGACCTAGAAAATGCTAAGTTTGAGTCTTCCTGTACCAGTTACAGCTTCCACACTGAAGTTTGTTCCTGTTAGGTCTTCTGGTCATACTTAAAGGGGAACACCATTGTTTTTACATTGGGCGCTTGATTTTACGTTATTACATCATGTTCTACTCACCCATATGAGATTTTTGTCATTTGGAGCCGTTCAACAAAGCGTCATACACGCACCGCTTTGTTTTTAAAAGATATGAATATAAAAAATATAACCGCGGATGTCTGGGGGACAGTGATTCGCCTACAAGTTATGAATGCTGGCGTACCATGAGTGATAAATTATGAACAGTTCAGTTTGTGCCTTCAAGTCGTTGCCCATAGGAAGACGTTACTTGGATATAACCTAATGGAATATTTTCAGAACAGCTCCAATTGACACAAAACGTATATGGGTGAGTAGAACATGATGTAATAAGATAAAATCAAAAATGAAATTCCCCTTTAAGTCTGGTGTGTTTGCTGATAGTAAAATGTTGGATATTTGAGTTTCTTTATCATAGTTGCTCAGTAATGGAAAGTCACCCTAATAATTAACCTATTCAATCATTTGCTGACAGATTCTTCAGTTTATCTCTCATTAGATGAATAAAGTTTAGTCATATCTAACACCTAAAACTAGCCTTTATATTTCTCAAGGCTTCTTTTATGCTATCCACATCTCTATGGCGATGATGTCTCTCTGTGTTCAGCACTTCTGCTTTAGGCTTAGAGAGTTTTTTTCCTTAATGAATTTTTCCCTAATGATATTGCCCTGTCAATTTCAACACTGGTATTATTAATTAATTCAGTCAATATTAGATACCCAACACATGTGCCTTACAGAAGGTTTTATGTAGTTCTGTCATTCTCTTTGTAGAGATACATTTTATTATGTAATTATACATTAGATATTTTACATTTATAGGCAGAAAGTTGTAAGTTTTATCTTACTACTCCATAAAGCCTGCTGCTACTGATTTTGTATTGTTGAATTCAAGCATAAATCGATATTTAACTTGCTTTCCCAGATTATTATATACATTTGTTATATGTTGTTGGATCTCATTTAGAAGATGTCCTTATGGTTTTTGTGGTATGCGCCTATGTTATGTATAATATTAACTAATCTTTGAGTGGAAATTTGTTTAGCTGCTGTGTCCAGTACATTTATGCTGATGTATTTAAGTCTATAATATTGAGGAGAAATGTCTGTTTTATGTTTTGCATGTAGACAACTTCTGAGTAGTTTAAAACAATTTAGGATTACTTACATAGTCCTTATCAGGATCTTCTGTATTTCGCGAACATAGTCATAAATAAAAGCAAAATTTTACCTTTTTAAAACTTTGCAGCAGTTGATGTCATCTGTTTTAAGAAGAACTTATTTTGTGTTTGTTCTCAATTTTTATTTTTTCCAGAGAAATTCCAGCCTCTCCGGGAGCACGAGGGGAATGTACCAAGTCTCAGAGAGACACTCCTCTCCCAGCACAGGGTAGGTCAGAGACTCTCACCTTTGGTCTTAGATATAATTCTCTTTACCTAATGCATAGTAATCATCATGGGGAAAGGTGACAGTTTTTTTCCCAGCCGCCCCAGGTAAATTGATTATTAAAACCATCCTACCTTGAAATATGATGCCCCCTCTTGTGCATTGTTTAAGATGAGCTTCAAATCAGGATCCCAGAAAAGAGAATTGTTTTACATTTATAAATAAAACGGAAAACAGAATTATTTTACATTTATAAATAAAACGGAAAACAGAATTGTTTTACATTTATAAATAATTTTCTTTGGTGTTGCATACCACCAATAGACAAACATACAGTGGACATGAATAAATGTGGAAAACTGTAATGTGGAATAAAAAATGCAAGGTATATAAATAACATCTTTAAAGATGTTATATGAAAATATTCCTTTATTCTTCCTCCAGTTGTCTATTTTTTTGACTTACCTTTTGAACAGCACAATCTAAATGTTCTATATTGTAAATGAAAATCAATGCATTTAGAATTTGTGTTTGGTCCTTGTAAACTCATGCATACACATGACTTCAGATAGTCATCTTTGAAAATACATAAGTTTAGAACTTAGGAATATAAGATAGAAAAACACAACTTTGCATTGATACAAGTTCAGGGATTTGTGAATACAACTCACAAATCTACAAATAAAAATCAGTATGTGTATGAATGACAAGTTAACACGATTAAATCACAAATTTATGAGTCCAAATTACAGATTTATGCATAAGAATCATATATTCATGAGTGCAAATCTCAATCTTTCTGCTCCAGACCACTAGAGATAGAAACCTGTCAGCTGATATAGACCAGAACATAGACATCACTACCAGTTAAAATGTTTGGAGCAGACCCTTAGCATAAACAGAAATGGGAGACCTTCCAGAGAAAGGAAGAAAGCAAAGGTAGGATTTCCTTTGAAGCTTTTTTAAACTCTTAATCTCGCTTAGGATCCTACTTATGTCTTTACTAACAGTCCACTTCTACACTGCAAAAATTATCTAGAAATAAGTAGTAATGTCTTAAATAAGTATATTTACCTTTAATTTGTGTAGGTAAATGAGATGATTTGAATGAGTATTTTTACTCTTAAAATAAGATAATTAGATAATATACACTTGATATAAGACAATGCACTTGTTTTTCTTATTTTAAATGTGAATTGAGGAGGTAGGTGTTTCACTTACCGCCTTATTTCAATGAAAAATGACTTATTTAGATTTCAATTCTTGCAGTATATGAGCTAATGGTCATCTCCTCCTAGCGGTCTGAAGCATTTCCACCATGTGCTGCTAGTTTGCAGCTTTGCCTCACTTGCAGTCATCTTTGCTGCTTGCAGAATTTTCCTTTGCAAGTCTTTTGTGTTTTAGCTTCATTTATGTATTTTGCAGCAGGTTTCGTGTTAGCAACATGCTTCCACTTTGCTGCATTCTTATTTTTTTTGTGATTGCAGCTTTTCTTATCTTGCAGTTGTTGTGTGCCTTGCAGCATCTTTTCTCCTCCTGTGATTTATTTTTTGTGTTTGTCTCCTTTTTGTGTTTGTTAGTCTAATTTTAAAGTATACAGGACCTTTTGAATGTGCTGTAGAGTTATGTATGTACTCAACATTTGCGCCCCTTGGCCACCGTACCCTTACCACTCATTGGAATATGATACACCTTTATGTTGGTTACCAAACATCACACAATCTCTTGCTTGTTGGTATCATTTAAGAATAAGCACCATTTTGGAAATCCAACCCTGTAGTCGAATCACTGCAGATGTGACAGTGAAAGGTAGATATTGAATGTCTTATCCATGTTTAAAAATTTGCAGTGTCATCTGCATACTGTTAATAACTCAGTGAACATATTTGAAATCTGGGTCTCTGGCACCAACTTCACACACATGGCCATGCCGTAGTACTCTGACTAACCCAACTGTCATCCCCTGGTCGTAGTGAATATATTTCCTGTCGTGACGTCAGGCCTTGCCCATTGAATCACTGACAGACACGGACACACTTTGTTGCCAGTAGATGTCTAGGCCTCCTGTCTTGGGTTAATAAAAGCTCTTCACTGGGGATCAACATGTTCTCCTCTCTTGCTGTTATTAAGCATCACTATGAAAATTTGGAAGCAGTTTTTATGACTTAATAAGTATGACTTTACCAATGAGAGAATTTCTTAGAAAATGAACCTTGAGGCGTGTAGGATTTTTTAGAATTTGGTGCATTTAATTGAAGAATATAGATTAAATAAGACATTCTGTATCCTTTATTGATTAATTCATTTAGCTTGTACTGTTTGTTTACTCACAGTACAAGCTCCAGTACCGACAGGGTTCGATAATGAGCTACATTAGTTGGTGTTTATTTATATTTCATTTTGAATATTTACTTGAATTTGAATTTTTAGAATTTTTTTTATTTTTATCGCTGAACAGTCATCGTGGGATTGGTTGGTTTTGTTGGTTGAATATTCCGCTTTTATTTTCGGTAACTGCAGTATTTTTCTTTCGTAGCCTTTTTCTGCTGGATGTGTTGATTTGCCTCTTGGAGTTTGCATCATTCATGTGTTTGATGCATGTTTTTCTCTTTTCAGCTTGTTTCTTTTGGCGTGCATTTCCACCTGTTGGTTTCAATTGAGAGCCCATCCAACATCCCAGATACACAATTTTTAAATGAAACATAAATAATAAATAAATAAATGTTTATTATTATTTTCACTTAACTTCTATTAGAACAGCTGTCTGAATTTTAATTAAAAGCAATAAGATTTGCATTTCCTGGTTGATGAAATCAGTTTTTTTTTTCCAGGCCTTTGCCTGGATTTTTGCAAACAGAGTGTTGATTATCTTCATTTCTATATCAAAATTACAATGGTTTCAGTCAAGCTTGATTTTTGTTATCAATTAAGACTAAGTTGAACTCTGATTTTGAGATGATACAGATGTGCTTGTCAAATAAAACTAGAAAATCCTAATGATGATGTTCAAATATCCACTCGTTGTTCTTCTGCAGAGCATCAGGAAGGATAAAGACTGTCTCTCAGGGTTCTGGAGGTTATGGCAGTGATAGCATCGAGATGCATCCCATGGAGGATTGTCCTGAGACGCAGTACTATCACATGCAGTGCCAGATGGGCGAGGGTGGCTACGAGCGCTCCCCTGGATGTGGACCTAGAAATTGGGGACTTCGCAAACAGGCCATTCAAAACTGGCAGCGACGACCATACAGGAACAGCACTGAAGGCGAGGAGGGGGACGTTTCAGACGTTGGTTCCCGGACTACAGAGTCTGAAGTGGAGATGTGGGAGCAAGAGAGGAGAGCTGTGGCTGAGGTTCAGCAGTCTGCAGTACCTTATTCTCACCACAGCAGGGCAGCGTATCGCCCCAACACAGGTAAAAGGCTGCTCTGGGATGATTTACATTCTGTTTCTCACCTGCCACCCATGCTTGTGTCCTGAATCCCAGAATAAAGGGGCTGGTTTTCCAACTTTGTTTGTAATTAAAAGCAGATTCAACTTTCAGAGAAACAAGCAGAACAGTTGCACCTAAAGTAGACAGAGAGCCTTACATAGGTATTTGCATCCCTTTCTTTGGATTTTACATTTAGTCATAAATACAAGTATCTTTATTTCCCTTAATTTACGTATTAAACCATCTCTGAGCAGTGAGACATTGTGAAGTTGGTGAAAGATTAAACAAGCTTTTCTTTTATTCTTACAAATAATAAGTGCATTACTTCCTGTTTCAATGAGTCCACATGAATTAGGGTGTTTTAGAACTTTTTTTTGCCCATCCTTCATTGCAAAATATTTTGATCTCAATTAATGAAATGTTTTGTTTTTTTTTCCCACTGAGTACTTATTTAGACTGACTGAGTCATTCCATCTCATGAACATGATTTGATTTGATCTGAAACCGTTTGGTTGGATACAATCGAGGTTCAGAAAGTACAAATCCTGTTATAACCATTTGCTTCCAGCCTCAAAACATAGACAGAAAATGATTGCCTGGTAAAGTGAATGATGAAGGGGAACTAGGCAGGATTTTTACTTTCTGGACCTGGAATGTTTAACTCTAAAATCATTCCCCTGTAGTTCTTGCTATATTTTTTAAGTCAGTTTTGATTGTAAATTGACTGAACTTTCAGAGAAAATTATTCTAAACATGCAGACCACTCAAAGCTCTGGAGATTAGAACCATGTTTAACTAACAGTAATCAGGAGATGATGAACAGATCAATAGGACATTTGAACATAGGTGTTTGGGTAAAGGGCACATTAACACTGTGCAAGGGTGAGAGCTGGAGTCAGACCCAAAGCTTAAAGACAGCAAGATAACTCTTCTACCTTAAACCACCATAATCCCATTATCTTTACGGAAATCTCAGTTATAAGTAAGACACTTTTTCAATAAAGTAAGAGATAATTCCGTCTTTGTAAGTTTATTTTAAAAGAAAACAGCTTCAGGAACACAAAGTCAGTGAGTGTACTCGGAACAGAAAGCTATCGCACCCTCCATGGTTCTTGCAGCACAAAGCAGAACATAGAAGAGAAGCAGATATGGGGAGGTTAAACAAAGCTTCTCCAATCAGGGACAAGGCAATACACCAACACCACATATCTTAACTGCAAAAAGATACAGTTTGCAGCGTCCTGAAACAATTACACTCCTTCACACAAAAATACAAGATCACTAAACTTCAACATACTCATTATTTTGCTATGAAAGAGAATGTATAACCATGCATGACATTTCCCACTAAACTGTCCCTACTGAAAAAACAGCAACCCCACAGCATGATGCTGCCACTTGCTGCAGGTCTCGTTGTTCTTCATATGTTGTTCCCTAGATTACTTTTTGGCAAACTGCAGACAGCTATGACTTTCTTTCAACAGCTGCTTTTTCTCCCACTGTCTTTGCTCGATGAATTTAGGTGGATGGCCATATCTTGGTAGGTTCTCAGCTAATTGTTTTTTTTTTAGATGATGATTCAAATTCTACTTAGTCAGGTATTAAAAGCTTGGAAACTGTTATAACCTTACCCTGATTTAAACATCTCCAAAAATTAAAACCACAGACCTGAGCGCTGTGCTCCTGTGTTTTCACAACCTATTCAGATCTTCGCGAAGCGGCTGGATTTATGCTGAGATTGATTTTGTCAAATTACGTCCAAAGGAACTGTTTAGATTTTCAGTTTAAGTAGTCTTAGTTGCAAGAATACAAGAAAATTCCTGGGCTGTTCCTATGTTTCTATGAAGATTTTGCTACATACTAGATAACCACTTATTGCTGCACAACAGATTGTGCATTTCTCTGTTAGCATCATGTCGTGCCAACATCCTTACAAACCCTGCTGCTGCACTCTGCCTTTCCCATCTGCTGTGGACTTATCAGGTGGACCGTGGCAGACTGGAACTAGAAGAATCTGGGCCATGGCTTAGTGACAAATTCACATGTACAAATTTGTCCTTCTCCGTAGCTGTAAAGTAGTTTTTTTTGTCCCATGTTACATGTTACTGGCACCCCTCTGCTCTGACGCAGTTCTCCTTATTAGGAGAGTCTTTGCCAGAGCTGTTGGTATGTATCTACAAGCACACAGGCATGTTTTTTTATAGTTGGTCGGGCAGTCTTGAGTGTAGGAGGTGTGCGTGTGTGACCGAGAGAAAGAGTCAAATAGTATGTACTGGTTCACAGCCCTGATGGTTTCACACAGATGCAATCCAAGGCCAAAGATGAAGTGAGTCATGGAAGAGACATGTATTGGTAGAGTTAAGGCAGGCTGGGATTGGATACACCATAACAACAGCAATAATTGGAAAAAAGTGGTATGAAATAAAGCAAACTAATTATGTAATCTAAATTGTGGCTCTTTGGTTGGACACTAGCACCACCATGTGACAAGATATAAGCTTCCACTACATGATTCCCAGGATTTTAAGTCTCATCAATGGGTAAGCACACAGTTTACCTATTGGTTTTGTATTAGACTTATGTATTTAAAAACAAACACTTTCAGAGGAACTACTGTAAACGTCAGAGCTCAGTCTAAAGAGGGACAGAACCTGTCTATGTGAATAACAATCCTCTTTTGGTTTGAAATGCCAGAAATACTTTAAGCACTGTTCCACTCACCTTTAGCTGGATTCTCTAGTGAGAACCTCTTTTTTTTCCATAAACCAGCATCATAATTAATGTTAAATGACCGATACTGACTGCTATAACTTCACAGAACTTTACCTTCGAAAATCGAAATGACCCTATTGCTAAAGATTGACAGTGATCCTAAACTAGTTTTGAGGCAACATTGGAGACGAAACTGTTGAAAGCAGATGTTTACATGCCCAGTAAGAAAAGACATATCAGCCTTTTTCATCACCGTCCTCCACTAAATCACACCGAATGTTTGTGTTGGTTAACCAAAACCAATGTGCAGTGATTAGTGCAAGGCTGATGAATTAGGCTGGTAGGTTTCAGGGTCGGTTCTAGGCATATTGGCCATTGAATACACTATTTTCTGTGGTGTACTTTTTATTTTTTATTTTGTTTATGTCTTTGAATTTTGTATGTAAATGTCTTTTGAGCTAAGAAGTTCATTTTCTTTTCATGTGAATAGTGTACAGATTTACATTTCTTGTTCTTTCTGCTCCGTTTTAACCATGATCTCTTTTAGTTGTTACATGAACTATTCATGTTAATAAGAGAAATGAAATAAGTTTTGTCCAACTCCACAAAAACAGATCCCTGAAGAAAAGCTCTTATTACATTTCTTAAGGTTACTGGGTCAGGGGAAACCCCCTGACCACATTTAGTGGCAATCTTTCCTTGGGGGAAATAGAAAATAATAATCATAAAACAAATATATTCTTAATCTTAATAGATGATCATTATGCATCTTAAACTGAATTGAGCCTAATAACAATAATCAAAAGGTCAAATATATTCTCAAAGATTTTTTTTTTCTTAAACAAGATCAAGATAAATGGTATAGAAAAGCAGAAGTTTTTTTGTTTGTGTTTTTGGCTCATTTGCATACTGATTGCTGATTGGTTGTTTATTAGAAGGGGAGGGGTAGCAGTTTGGTCTGTACTGACTGCAAACAGCCAGGACAAAATCAGTCATCCCAGCATGGTGCGCCGCAGAACCTGAGTGATGTTCCTCAACTTTTAGCAAGTTTGAGTTGAGCGGGCAAGGCATTTATTTGAGGAGGTGCTGCCCTCTCTTGCCCCCGCATTTAGCCGGCCCTGGTAGGTTAGCATTTATTGTATTACTTTTTAATCATCGGATGATTGACTGAACAATGCTTAGTGGGATGCTCCCAGCTTGGGATGTGACCTATGTCCTCAGTGCTTTTGGGTACATTTTACCTGTGAAGTGGAAGAAAAAATTAAGCACAATTTTGTTTAGAGCTGTATAGATTCACACAACAAACTTTTTGGAGCTTCATTTGAAAAAAACTTTGAAGAATTGTGTTTCATTTTTCTTCCACTGCACAAATTATGTACTGCTTAATCTTGGCCTAAATCAAGATGCAATACACTTTAGCCTAGGGTTGTTATGTGACTAGATTATTTTTCAGGGCTCCGTAAGTAAATATTAAAGGTCTGACAGGCTGTTGTTGCTGCAGGTCGGTCTGAAGTGGTCTACAGCAAGCCATGCCGTCATGAAAAGAGCCCTTCAAAATCCAACGAGGTGATCAGTCCGGAGATCCTGAAGATGCGCGCAGCCCTTTTCTGCATCTTCACCTACCTGGACACGAAAACCCTCCTGAGAACTGCCGAGGTCTGCCGCAACTGGAGGTTTGTGGCTCGTCACCCAGCTGTGTGGACCAGAGTGCTGCTGGAAAATGCCCGTATTTCTTCCAAGGTGCAGAGTCGACGTTCATTCGTTATGCTTCATTTAAAGCAGAGGCTTGTGGAACAGTGAGTTTAATTGTTGTAAATTGTTGTTTTCTAGTTTCTGACCACATTGTCTCAGTGGTGCACTCAGACGCACTCTCTCATTCTGCAAAACCTTAAACCAAGGCAGCGAGGCAAGAAGGAATCCAAGGAGGACTACCTTAAAAGCACACGGTGAGACACAGCTGTATTTGCTGTTTCTTTCGTAGATTAAAGGTTTACCTCCTCTTAGGTATTTATTTCTGCCCTGTGTGTTGCCGTGACTTGATTAACCCCATTGTTTGCATAACTGCTGGGCTGAGCGATTTTTCTGAACAGCGACTGATGACAATTGATGAATACTGACGTTTCAATGCAGTTCATTATCCCCAGTGTGTCAAATATTAGTTTTTATTTACCGGAAGGAAACCAGCTACATTGAGTCAAGCGGGGTGTTGTTTGTGTGAGGGACATAAATTTCAGTCTGTAATGTTTTGCTCTGAATATGCCTGATGATTACTGTAAAAAGCAGCAGCCGCAGAGCTGCTAGGATGTTGTTGTTAGAAGTGAAGTATGATTAAAAATGACCTTTATTTCTGTGTCTGGCATTTTTTCTTCTTCTGACCTTCTCGTATATTTTTGTAAAAGTGGCTGTCTCGAGGAAGGTTTGGAGGCGTTGTTAAAGGCCACAGGAAGTAACCTGCTGATACTAAAGATTTCACACTGTCCCAACCTGCTGACTGATCGCTCCCTATGGTTGGCCAGCTGCTACTGCCGCGCCCTCCAGGCCGTAACCTACAGGTGAAACGCCCGCAGGCGGACCACAAACTTAATCTATTTTACTTTATCCTTTTCATTTTAAATCAGGCTTATGTACAATTAGATTTTTATGTTTTATGTGACACTGCTCTTTTGTTATCTAAATGTATTCCACATTCTAATAAATCACTGTTACTATGGTAACAGAAAAAAGAGGTTGAGTAAACTCTCTTTGTGAAACAGAAACTTTCATTTCAGGTTTAGAAAACTGAGTTTTTAGTAAACCTGCTTCATGAAACAAACCCTTGGACAGCTGCTGAATAAGCAGCCTTCCCTTTGATTTTGTTTACTAAAAAAATACATTTCTAAATTTAGATTTTTCTTGCATTGGTCCTATGTAATACTATATTCATCTGATAAACTGAATTTAGGGTTCTCATTAGCTGTAAGCTGTGATCAGCAAAGATAAGTAAATGCTTTAAGACACCGCATGACTTAAGGCTCATTATGCTTGACACATTGATTTTTATTTTATTTTATTTTATTGTGCCTCTAGTTATACTATTTGATATATGGTTAAGATGTTTATCACTGCGTTAAAACATACATTTTGTGGATAGGTAGAAGGACGAACGATGGCCATAACTTTAAATTGTGTATTTTTACATGGTTCCAAGGAGCGCCACAGACCCGGTTGGCCAGGAGGTCATCTGGGCCCTCGGCGCTGGCTGTAGGGACATTATTTCACTGCAGGTGGCGCCACTACATCCATGGTAAAGTAATGTAACAATGAGTAACAATATGTCATATTAAGAGCAAAACTAGTGTAATGAACAACTTTTCATTAGTGTTTTGTTGCTTTCAGTCAACAACCTGCACGTTTCAGTAACCGATGTCTGCAGACCATTGGAAGATGCTGGCCACATCTCCGTGCTCTAGGTGTGGGTGGAGCTGGATGTGGGATTCAGGGACTGGCCTCACTGGGTACATATTGCACATACAGCCAAATTACTGCATTTTTGTTGCTGCTTTTTTTGGGTTACTTTACCTGATGCCATTAAAAGCATGGGAGCATCTGTTGACAGGAAAACATTTGGTTGTGTACTTCACAACTTTGGTCTAAGAAATGTCTAGAGAAGTTTGAAATTTTTATTATAGAAATATACAATGCTATACCCCTTTATTTATAAAGAACTTCTAAAATAACGAAGGTCGTCTAAGTGCTGTACATACAATTGAATACAACAGTAAAATTAAAGTAGACAAGCATAACAATTGTTAAAATAGTTCAAATTAAAGTTCATTGAAATAAATCAAACGTAATTGAAGTAGAAGATAAAAATAAAATACATAAATAAAAATAAGATCATGCTCTCAGTATGAAGAAAATGCCTCAGCAAACAGCAATGTTTTAAGAAGGCCTTAAACTCTGAAAGAGAGGAGGCTTGTCTGACATCCAAGGACAGATTATTCCACAACCAAAAACAACTAGAATAGAAATGAAACTGATACAATAGTAAACACAGAAAGACACGAATCAAAGTATAACTGAAAAGTCAAAAAGAAAACTTAAACAGAACCAAAAAGGGCAGAATCATGACAGAAGGTTAACCTAAAAAAAATGAATAAAAAGGTTGTGAAGTAGCTGTTGAGTCACAGAGCAACCATAGGTTTGTGTTATGATTTCTGGAAAATATGGACAATAAAACCCAACTGGATTCATTTGCTGTTCTGAAGTGGCCAACCTGTTCTTCCCTCACACTTTTCATAAATCTCGGCTGTTCTTCTTTCCTTCCCATCGGTTCAGCGAGGAACTGCATGCGTCTCCAGGTATTGGAGTTGGACCATGTCAGCGAAATCAACCAGGAGGTGGCAGCAGAGGTTTGCAGAGAGGGTCTCAAGGGTCTGGAGATGCTGGTTCTTTCATCTACACCAGTCACACCTAAAGCCTTGCTTCACTTTAACAGTGAGTGTACAATCATTTTATTTTTATTTTGTGGGGTGGGGCTGATTCATATTGTAATCTGGTGTCCATTTCTGGACCATGTGGTAATTTATGTCGTTACACAATTGATCAATTCTCACTAACAAACAAAATAATCAGATACATTTCCTCTTTGAAAATTCTCCTTCCAACGACGCAGGTGTTTGCCGCAACCTTAAATCCATCGTTGTGCAGATTGGTATAGACGACTACTTTGAGGACCCCAACAGCCCAGAAGCCAGAAAGCTGTTTGATGAAATGGTGAACAAGCTGCAGGTAAACAGTCTCTCTGGGTCTCACAGGGATTCAGGTTCCCCCAAAGCTGCTGCTAACTGAGCATATATATATTATATATATATATAAAACAGAGAATAGTTCTTGACATAATAAATGGATTATTTTGAGTTAAAGTTAAAAAAAGCATCTAATTTAAGTCCTGACTCAATCCTGAAACTTCTTGGTTTGGGATGAGTAGGACGGAATGTTTGAGCTGATTTCATGCCACATGATTGGACATGTTGTTTTGATGGGTCAGACTGACGTGTGTTATGATGAAGTCAGGGGAATGACTTCTCCAAATCATGCTTTAAACATACTAACCACTAATAATACGTGTGCCGGGTAAATTGGCCTCAAAAAAATGATTCCTACTGCCTGAACTTTTCCACATCTCATTGTATTACAACCACAGACCTCAGCTTAAATTATCCTCGATTTTATGGGATACAAAAATACAAAGTAGGGAATAATAGTTAGACGACGGAATGTAGATGATTTTCAATAAATGCTATAAAAAAAGGCTGACAAGTGTGACATTTGTTCTTAGCCTCCTTTACTCCAATAACCTTTGAATATCATACAGAAATGGGAAGAGAATGATGCAACTGCATACCTTCCAAGACGCCACCATCCATTGAAACTGACAGACTGGGCAAGGGGAGCCTTAAGTGCTTAGCAACTGTAGAAGAGCCATAGAGATCCATTGTGAGGGTAGGAGAATCTGTTGGCAGGAAAACCATTAGATGTGTATTGCACAAACCTGGGAGTTTGAATTTGTACTTATGTAAGAAGAATAGCCTCTTCTGGTCTCTGCTTAGTGAGACTAAAAAGGAATTACTTTAGACAAACAACTACACATCTAAATTTTAATATTTTTTAGATTAAAAAAATAGTTAAAAACATTTGTTTTGGCTTTCTGCTTCACAGTAATGTCTGTTTTTTTTTATCTTTCATACAGAATCCTAATGTTAAAGTTTGAATGTGAAAAAAAAAACTTTGGCAGTGCACTGCCCTGTTTACAGAAGCCGTCCCCTAAAGGTGTCCCCTTTCCTTTGTCTCTCTCCTGTTTTTTGTGTTTTTTTTTTTTTTCAGGCTCTGAAGAAGAGACCAGGTTTCTCCAAAATCCTCCATGTGAAAGCAGACAGCCTCTGCTAACGTCCTTTATGCAGGTTGCTTAAGGCAGCAACTACAGATTGAGTTGATCGGCTGAACACAGGTAGCTTGGGCCCACCTCCTGGGGGTAGAGTGCATTTGGGGCACAAGAAACAAGAAAGTTTAAATAGATGAATACAGAGCAAGGATGACAAAGGATATTAAAACTAAATACAAATCTGAAACCAAACGGCAGCAGACTGGATAAAAATGGGCTAAATGTTGGTGTGCCTCTGATGAACAACCGGTTTAAACTTAAAGAAATCCAACATTATTTAAACTCGCCTCTCATGCACATTCTCTCTAAATGTGGAGTTTCTCATCCAGCAAACCCAGGTCAGTAGTGGGGCCTGCATTTACCCTTCTGCATTATGCTTGACACAGACTTGCTTCAATACCAACTGCAGGCGAAAGATAGGGATCATATGCACTTTCCACAGACGTATATGTTTCTTCTTAGAGCATTATAACAGGGGCTTTATGTTTGGGTGTGATGTAAATAAACAAATGCTTTTCCCACTCTGCCCCAACCCCAAAAAACTAGCAAAATCCACATTTTTGAGCACTTACTACTTCCTGGCACTGTGAGGGGGGCCCTGCCCTGTAACACACATTTACCATGGTACCGTCAGATTTTGCCGGCAGTATTGCCCTCTACTTCCTTCTTTTAGCAAATCCACTTCAACCAATTTGGATTCAGACTTGTTGATCTCTGTTGTCACAAATGGACCTGTTTTCACTGGAGAATGGGATGGAGTATCCTAAGTCGCTGGTGCCATTTGTTGCGACCTTCATCTATATTCCAGTGAGTGTTTCCCTCTCTGCGGTGTGCCAAATAGAAAATGAAGAGGAAAGAGGCAAGTGACTACCAAAAGGCCTGAATTTGCTACAAGCAGAAGTAGCTCAAACTGAATATAAAGTGTTGTGTTTGCTATAAAACAAATTACCCAGGTGTGTACAGGTGTTGAAGTGTTTGTTTTCATACTGAACAGTGCCATTTGCATCACAGGGGCTATTCTGTTTAGTTGGGTTCATTATCTGACCTGCTTCAACCCTCTTTTAAAGTTTACTTCCACCCAGTGGTGTAGAGATCTCCTCAACCTGAGGAGATCTGGGGCTTGTCTTTAGCTTCAGATTATGATCTAAGGGATCAGGTCTTTAAATTAGGAAATGTGTATTGCAGAAATATAAATGAGATTAGCAGTACCCTTTGAGGGGAAGACACACTGTTCTGTTCATCCTCTGGTTCTAGTTCCACTCTGCTTTGGTGGAAACATAACCCTACTGGTCTGATGGCTTTGTCTTGATCTGGAAGTTTCTTGATGTGTTTACCAGGCCTTAAAAAAGGATTCAGTTTTTTTTTTTTTTTCTTTTGACAGAATGTAACCCCCTACTTTGGACCAAAAATGGTTTGTATTTTGGTGCACAGAGTTTTCATTCTCTAACTTTAGTGAAGTGCAATATTTCATTATTCACCTTGACTAAAAATGCACAAAATCTGATAGGACTATGCTGACATCAGTCTAAAGGCAGAATATGGCAGTCCTTCCTTTTTTTTTGCAGCATGTTGCTTAGAGGGTTCCTACACAGTCCTCACAAGTATAGAATTTGCAGCTGACAGTCTTGAATTGTATGGGGAAAAAAGGCTCCAAATGTGTAAAAATATTTGCTTTATCATAATTAATTTAAAAAATGGAAATGAAAGAAGTATAAAAGAAAAACATTCAAAATGACTGTTTCATTTTCATGGTCTCCACATTGAGGCATAACTTTTTGAAAGAAGAGATCAAGCTAGGACTTTTTTAGACTTAAAGGTATAGTAGAGGATGTTCTTTTTCCAGGTGGATAATCAAAATAATTGGTCCCCCTAAATGTCAATAATTCTGATATGTTTATGTAAGCCCATCCTTTGTGCTCATCCCCATTTTTACTTACCGGTGGAGTGAAAATGGGGAGAGTAAACTTGTATTGTACCCACGGGGAGCAAAAAGCAGTGATCATCTATCCGAACGGTAAAGTAAGTTCACTGTGCTCGTATAAATCTAAAGTCTCCTATATATAAAGTCTACTATATAGTCCCCGCTCTATATAGTGACTGAGGGATTTATGGGTTAGGGTGGATGTTCGTACACATTAAGCTTGTATAAGCGATGCAAACAGAAACATGCACTCTCCTATGCATTTAATAGACGTTCCCTCGGGAGCGGGTACATGGTTGTGCATGTTTGTTTTTTTTTGTTTTTTTTTAAGTGGAGAGGATGGGTCTTCTCAAAAATTCACGAAAATCCTCCACTATACCTTTAATTGGTTCAAATAAGCATAGTAGCTCATTGTTCCAAACCTTTGAGCTTCAAAGTCTTGCCACAAAGTAATATCCAAATTAGCCCAAAGACGTATCTCTAGATAGTAATATTGATGAAACTGTCTCCACAACTGCCGAACCTTAAGCACAATCCAATCAGGGATATTGTCCTAAAATAAGATAAAATATTGTTTGATGTATCATTGCTGACTTTTTGAGACAAAAAACTTGTCTTGAAATGACATTATCTTTAGATAACGGGACAAGAAAACCGAAGCTTGCCATGGAACCTTATGCTATCTTAAGATTTATTTATTATACAGCTTTATAATGAGAAAATTAGACCAAGATCTTAAGCGTGTAAAACGCTGATATTATCATCTAAACAAAAGCCCAAGATCTGATCCTCTTATGACAAGATTAGTTCATTTTAATAAAAAAAAAAAAAAATGAGCTAAAATCCTGCTATCTTGGGATAGTGAGATAAGAAATTAGCTCTCGAAATAAATTAAGATTGAGATCTTGTTTTTTATGATAGCCTAAATATTTAGATTATAGCTAACAAAATCATTTTATTTCAAGATAATGAGCCATTATAATTGTAAAATGTACGAGCAAGTTTGGGGTGTTATCTCTTTATTTGGCAAAGCAGTCAAGAGAATTAGTCTTAATCTATCAAATCTGTTATGAGAGAAAAGCCTGATCTAAATGTCCCCACAAAGTTAGCCATGAAACCTTCATGAAAACAGTAAAAGCTTGATCTCTTTATATTTGATTTGAATAATTAAACTAATGAGAACTATGTAAACTTGTTACCTTGAGATCATGGCAAAAACAAAACACAGTGGTAAGATTTTTTTAAGGAACTAAATGGAAACTCACTAAAATGTCTGCTTCCTTACAGTTTTATGCCTGTTATGTGTGACTCTGGTTTAGATGTTGAAATGGGTTTAAGTGTTTTAGAACTAATACTCAATCCAAAACACTACAGAACATTTTCTATACATGCTATACAAATTGTTGTACTTCCATGTGATAAATGGAGCAAAAAAGAGAAATCAAGTGAATGTGGAAGTTTGAAACAAATATGTGGGAACCCTATGCTTAACTTGCACACCGTGATCATGTTGGATTATGTGTCTCGTCATCCTGTTGGAAATGTTCTTTAAGCTGTGACTTCACGGTCTCCCTATTTTCATCCCATCCGGATTGATTGATTGATAACTTCCCTGAAGGATGAAGGTTCGTGATGAAAGGGAGAAACTTCACTGTTTAGAATAAAACTAACAGAAAGCACTTGTTGATTTTGAGTTTCTGACAATCCTGCGTAGGTCATCAGCTACCCTGTACATAATGTTTGAAGATTTTAAAAAAGAAAAAGTAAAAAAAAAAAAAAAAGACCAACATTTGATGTTGTTATAACAAGTTGATGAGTCAGAGTGGAAAAGCTGAAGTTTACAAGTCTTCATTTAGAGTCTAATGAAGGATAACGCATAGAGAATTATATTATGTCTAACAGTAGTGTGAAATTGCAGTTGTGTACTAGATACTTTATATTAAATGTGCATCAGATTCATATAGAAATGGAAATTATTTAAGAAGATGATAATTCAGCTATTTATTTCTATATAAAAAGAGCGCTGTGTACAGTATAATGTTGGCATGTTTGTGTTCATGCATCAATCATTGAGTTGCCTTTTTAACTGTACTGCTACTGTGGCAAAAAAACAAAACAAAAAAAAATGGCTATTAGATGTTTAAAGAGCTTTGATTGCCTGCAGGTTAATAATATTCTTCATTTGATCCTGTCTGTTGTTGCACTATAGATAAAAAAAAGAACTATTTCAGATGTTTATTATAAGAGTGTTTTTAATGTTTTCGGGTATTTAAAAAAATGCACTTTTCTTTCTTGAACACTTATTTTTTTGGCCTTTTTGGTCATCTCGATGGACATATGTTTTTGGGATGTTGGTTTCTTGATTATTGGAATAACAGTAATAATTTGCATATTCTTCAAAAGAACAGGCAACATCTCCCCACATCTCTGTGGACTACATTTAAGTGCTTTTTAGGTTGCCAGTATGACCTTATATTTGTATTTGTTGCCATTCTTGTTTGACTTCTGTCCCGTAAATGTCATATTCAGAAGGACAGTATACTCTCTTTTTTGTGAATACAGACTCACTCCGGATGCGGTGGGGCCTGTAGGCCCTAAAAGCATAAAGGCCAGTCACTCTGGGAAAAAAAAAAATGTATTTTTGGCTTCCATCTCTAATGTCTTGCCTTTCTCATTCAAAGTCTGAAGCATCATCTTTATCTTTTCGTTTACTAAACTGTCCTCTGTTACCAGTTTTATCATGCTGTGCAATAGAAAAAACTGTGTGTGTGCTAATGTGCCCATGTATATATTTTATGTATGAATGATTGTACTCTGCCCATTCATCTAAGTGTGTTTTACACATTATACCTCAACATTTAACAGGGCAATTATTAATGATTCATTTTTTTCCAGATATTTAGTTTGTTTCTTACTGCCATCAATAGGTTATTCATTCAAGTTCCTGCTACAACATGAATTCTGTTGATGAAAACAAAAAAACTTTCCCAAAAAGATCGAAAGCCTTCTACGATGACTGCAATAGATGGATTTTCATTCATTTAATGTCATCAATAAAACTGCTTTAAATAATTTTTTCTCCTTTTGTTATGAAAAGTATATTTTGGTATTTAAAAAATTTGATCAAATTTAAACTGTCAGAGGAGGCCAAGGCTACACCATTCAAAAGATTTGTTATCCTGTTATTTTAAAGAAGAATGCTGTATTTACATACCATCTGGTGGCAGAACTGTTGAAATTACCGACTTCAAACTTCATCTCCCAGTAGATAAGATAAAAGGTTCTGAAGAAGTTTACAGCAAAGTTTTGTATAAAAATACCATCCTAAGCTTGAACATGTCAAGGAGCGTTAATCAATGGTTCATCAGAAAACGGGAGGAGTATGACAACAGCAACTCTACAGAAACATGGCCATCAGCCTAAAGTGGAAGGTCCAGCTAGAAGGGCTTGCATGTGCATTCACTGTCTTCCGATTAGCCTACACAGAGACACCTAGGCTGCCCTCTTGCACTTATCCTCCAGCTCTTCTTTGGGAGGAGAGGTGTTACCTGGGAAGCCAAGAGACCAAATCTCTATTCGAAATTGTCTAATAGGTAAGATGTCTTTGGCCAAAGTTGGTAAGTACTGTCTAAATAGTGATGGCGGTAAGGAAGGGGATAGAAAAAATAGCCTGTATGCCTCCATTAAATATGTTACTTACACTACAAAAAATAGAAATCTAAATAAGTCATTTTTTCTTAAAATAAGTGTATTTTTTCTTGAATTGAGGAAGGAAGTAAGACACTTCGCCAATGAAACAAGAAAACATATTAAAAATTAGGGGAAAAAATGCATTGTCTTTTTTCAAGTGCATAGTATCTAATCATTAAGAGTAAAAATACAAATTCTATTGGCAAGTAATCTTATTTACCTTCTTAAATTAAGGGTAAATGCATTTAATGTGTTTTTTCTAGATATTTTTAGCAGTGAGCATAGAGATTTCATGAAGTTCCTCCCTGGCACTAAGGAACTGTAGGGAATCCCACAATTTGCAAGCCACCTTATCTTCCTCACATGGCCCCTTCCCCCTGTAATTAGGGTCTTCAAGCAGCAGCTCCCAACTTTAAACAATGCTTGTCATGATGCTAATAGTAATGACTTCAACCAAGGCAACATCAACAGATGCAGATAAGCAGATAAAGTGTGCAAGGGTCTGCAAATGCAAGGGTAGCTCCGTGGATTGAGAGTTAAGTATAGTAAACGGAAGGTAAAGGGCTGATCCAACCAGACTGAGTAGAAGTGATTTTGACTTACAGGTAAGGATGATTTGTTAAGTTCAAGGTAGTTACCCACTTAGACTGAGGTTGGCAAAGAACATGTCTGTCCGAACTAACTCTTTTAGGGTGTTGTTTACTGACAGAAGGTAGAACCAGATAGTGACTGGGGATAAGGCAGGCAGGTGAGGTGGAGGTAAGGGAGCAGAGGAGTATCTCAGCAAGGACATCTGCGTAAGAAACGCATGGATGGTGACTAAGAGGCTAGGAAATGAGTAAGAGAACACATTCAGGCTATCATGCTGCAAGAGATAATGGTGTAACACTTCCCTACTGGTTCTAACTCCTTAAAAATTGCTACTGATTAGGAGATTTTAAAAAAGACGCCTGTGGAGTAGCACCTGTTGGTCATACCCTGCAAAGATAGTTTTTTTTCCATAGCCTCAAAAAAAAATCTTCCAAAGCCTCCAAGCAATGGCATGCCTGATCTTTGGGTATCAATTAGTTGCCTCGGAAGTCCACTGCCAATTTCCAACACCAGATTTTATTAATTAGAGCTGAATTAGGCTCTGCAAAACTTATGGACACATCTAAAGGCAACCCCATTAGCAAAGAGAACATATCCCACTTTGACATTATGTGCTATAGCCTCTCCAGGAATCTTGGAAAATCTCTCCCGGAGATGTAAGTTTGATTTGTTCGTTATTAGTGTTTTGCCAATAGTTCCCAGCAGACTATTACTACAGGCTTGGATCTGTCAAGTCTGTGTGGCTATATCAACTGCCAATGGGTCCTTTTTACTAATAGGTGGTGAAGACCAGTGTACTGACAGTGTACCAGTGTTTAGCCTTCACCTGGGTATTCAAGAAATACGGCTTCTGCTGAAGTAATGTGGAAAAGGGCAATGATCAGTACTGGCAACTTGACACAAAGGGGGGGAAAGGCAGGATGAAGTCTGTAATGGAACTATATGCCAGGCAATAGACTAGCAGACAGATCCATGGGCTATGCAAAGACTGTGGTGATAACTGGTCTAGGTTCAGTGGTCAGATAGTGAATGAGGAGTCTGGCGTGGGCACGCCAAGATGGGGGAATCTGTTTCTTAATTAGGAGCAGGTAAAGACTGCTGGACATTTACTCTCATTGCCTGAGGAAGCTCAGTGCACAACAGCAGTTGTAGCGAATGAGATTTACTGCAGCTGCAGGGAGAGGAGCGCAGATGCAGCCAATAATTTTGATTGCCAAGAGCAGCAGACAGCCAGGACAGAACATGACAGTGACAGCTGGAGGAAGGCTAGACCTAACCAATACAGGCTAATCCGTCCTTAACATGCTGATGCTGGATGTATTCAGATAAAGCAGCAAACAGAGCAGAAACAACAAAATTTAATTTGCGTGGCCTTGCATCTATCATCACTAATCACACTCAGGTCAACCATATCCCCTTTGGATCATTTATGCTTAAATATTTGTGCCTTTCACCTGTAACAATATGATTATTATAGAAAAAAAATTATATTAGCAATAGCTAATGCTTTGACTGTAAAGCCAACATGTTTCTTAAACAGTGTTAAGAATGATTCATCAGACCTTACATTTATATCAAATATCTGAGCCTTGCTTCAAGAAAGGTTTGAATAAACGTAACAAACTATTTGAAAAAAAAAAAAATAAGTTGAAATTAAAAGAAAGCAGGAAGTTAAAAAGGTGCACTGACGTGTATCAGTTTGCCTGAAACCCACATTCAGGAAGCATTGCTGCACATTACACCACAACTGACAATGAACTAAACTTGTGCAATCAAGCAGTCATATCTTGAGCTTATTTGTTTCTTGTGAATAAATACTCAAAAACAAGAAAGAAATAAATAATTTTAATGGGTCTTTATGTTAAGTATCTGTATTGTAAAAAAAAAAGTATTGTGATTAGTATATCAAATGTAAAGTTAACACTAATGAAAATTCATATGTATTAAGTTCGCTTAATTCTGACACCCCTAATCCAGTTTGTTACTTGTTAGATGTGTCTGAATCATGGTTTCTTAACGCTGATCCTCCAGGCCTACTGTTCTGCATGTTTTAGGTGGTTCTCTAAGTCCACATGCCTGGCCTGAATTAAAATGTGATTACCAGGCTTTTGAAGCATCTGATGGCTGAGGAGGTAATGCAATCATTTGAATCGGGTGTTCTTGAGTAGAGACACACCTAAAACGTGACAGACAAAGGGCCCTGATCTAAATAGTACATTTAGTTAACTTGGAGATATTTATCCTGAGTACACATTCAGATGTTATAGTTAAGCTGAGAGGTTTGTTAGAGAAATTAAGAAAATGTATCATAAAGATCGGGGAGCACAGCGAACAGTTCAGGGAGTTGTGAAAATCTTTAGAGTTTGGAACTCATTGTCTACCAATTATCCTGAAGTGGGTTGCAAGGGCAGCAGTCTCAGTAGAGACTCCCAGACTTTCCTCACCCAAGACACCTCCTCCAACTCTGCTAGTGGATGTTTTCAGGGTCCGCCTGAGAAACATATTCCTGGGTCGTTCCCTGGTCTTCCTCCTAGTGGGACGGGCTTCGAACCCTTCCTGAGGGAGGCGTCCAGTGGGAATCTGAAAAAGATGTCAGAGCCACCTCAGCTGACTCGTCTCGGTGTGAAGAAGAAGCAGCTCTACTCTTAGCCTCTCTTGGATGGCCAAACTCCTTGCCCTTTCACTAAGGGAGGGCCAAGCCACCTTATGGGGGAAACTCATTTCAGCCAATTGTATTTCGGATCTTATTAGTGGCGAATATTTTTGTCGTTGATTACAAATTTTTTCTCACCCTGTTTATGGCCTGTTTGTTTTGGTACGAGCAATCGGCTCATCTGAGTTCAGGTAATTACCAGCACTTGTTTTGCTGTGCTAACGCCGTTTGCAAATTGGCTCCCTTTTCCTCTCCTGTCACAAGCTTCTGTTACTGTTGGTTCTGGTTTTGTGCGTGACTCAAAAATGGCAGCGGCGAATGAGTCTGAATCGAGGATGGAGACATCTGCCAAAAGACCAAAAGTCTTCCGGGGACAACCTGGGACAGTTTGGCCCAGGGTAGTGGGAAGGCCCTGAATCAGCCCCTACATCTTTTGCCACAAATATTATTTTTTTTAAAGATGTTTGCAAGGAAATTGGAGCTTTATTCTTAAGTTTCATAAAATCTTTTCCTATTATTACTTTCTTTTGATTATCCACTACAGTATTGGGAGGTACCCAATACTGCTATAGATAAGGTTGGCTGCACTGCAGGTGGAGACAGGAAAATACACAACCAGAACCTTCCCCTCTGTACACAGTCAGGCAGCAGCTCCATCACTTTAACATGAAGGGTACAGCAGCTCTCAACTGAAGAAGCCGCAACAAGCCGCAGGAACAGCTTTACATTGAACAGAACTTTAGATCACTCACCTTCAAAAGCCTGAGAAGGCAGTCATAGCTTGTAAGCGCTCTGATGGATCAAACAACACAGCAGTTTCTGTGAAGGTTTTGTTCCCTATCTTTGCTAGATTAAGTTATATTTATCAACGGACCAATGGGTATTGTTAAGAGGTTGAGAAGTTTTGAATTTGACTGACCTGACTACATGACACCTCTGCCACTGCAACAATGCTGCTGTGGAGGCAATGGAGTAAATATCGGCAAATAGAAACAGCAGATGCTTACGGGCCTACAACCTCTTAGGGGCCCCATCACTGACACCTGGTAGGCCCCCTATGCAAATATAGACTAGGACGTCTCTTTGCAGATGTAAAGGTGCAAAAAATTCCTTTTAAACCCACGTGATACTGAAGTGACTGACTGCACTGGACCGTAGTTATACCGCAACACATGCCAGATTTCAGCATGATGGTGATATCATAAGCATCTCACTGAAAAGGAGTTTTTGGAACTTGGGATGTCTTTAACATGTGGTGGTGCGCTGTCAACAATGGTTCCTTTCAAGGTGTCCAGTCACTATTTTTCCGTGTGTGATGTGTGATCATATACTACTGAGAATTGTGTAATTGTATCCTCTTTGCCGATTTATGGAACCGTCGCCGTATCCTGAACCTTTATCACTTCTTGTTCTTCACATGGGGCCTACGCAGATTATGTTGCTTACGGGCCTATTGTTGTGTCGTTACGCCATTGGGTGGAGGTGAATAAATAGACAATCCTAATGTACAACCTTAACTGCTTAAGAAAGGTTTTGACCGGAACATTTTGTGGTCCAATTAAAACGTGTCAAAAAAGTAAAAATCACACAAGTTAAAATGTAATGCGACTGGAGCTGGTATGGAAAGCCAAATATGCAGCATATTTAATAAAATAAAAACTGGAAAGAACTCTATTTGTTAATATAAATATTTAAATGTTACCTGAGATGCTTGCATTGAATAAATATATTTTTTATCCTTAGTAAATATGTTTCACTCATTTAATAAAACTATTAAATGTTTGTCTTGCTTCCAGAAAACGTTACTTAAAAAATGTAAGATTTCATTCAAAGATTAATCAAGACTTTATGAATGCAGCCCAGTGTAGTGTCCTAATTAGCAGCAGCAGCAGTTGTTCCATTCTTTCTATTGATCTCCTGGTCCATTTTACCATCACTCGTAAACGGGACCCCAATACACTTGAACTCCTCTACTTGAGGCAGGAACTCCGCTCTGACCTGAAGAGGGCAAGCCACATTTTTCCAGTGAAGAACTGGAGGACCTTATCCTCCTTTCAGGCACTTCTCACTTGACTGCAAACGACCTCAGCACATACTTTAGGTCTTGGCAGGAGGGAGCCAGCACAGCCACGTCATCCTCAAAAAGCAGGAAATCTGTTGCCCCGAAAACTGGACCCCTTCTTTGCCAATACGAATCCTGTCATTGAAGGTTAGGAACAGTGACCGAGACCAGCCCTACTGCATTCCAACATCTACCAGGAGCAAGTCAGACTTAAAATTTGCAATTCAGGCCAAACCCCTGCTGCGTTGGCTCTATTGAAGGGCCCCCGACTCTGTACTCAGAGAGTGCCCCCCAAAGAACCCATGAGGGACCACATTTGGACCAGATTGTTAAGGTTTAAAGCTGGGTTAGGTTTTTAAACAATTAAAAACAAACAAAACAGCACATAATCACACACGCATCAGTTACATTATATAACATGCTACTTGCACCATTATTCTGTTAAGACATTGACCTTATTCATGAAATTTGGTTACAGGTGATCAGAAGATAGGGGAGACTAAAAATAAGCCTAAACATACAACCAGAGCTTTAATGTGGGCTTTAGATCAAAGTATGTAAATGCCTTATTCATAAACGCTGTCCACCCAGTCTGACAGAATTTTTTTTACAAAAAGGTATTAGAAAATATTTCAGAGTATAGATATGGAAATTAATCCAAAATATTTATGGCTGTAGATAAAGATGGTTCTACAAAGTATAGACTTTATCCTGAGGTGTAGAGTCTACTTTTCTTGTAGAATAGCCTGAGTACAATATGCTATTTCTCAATTTCATAATGAGAGCTAGATTTCATTTGAAACTGCAAACTGAAGTTGCAGAATTCCCAATAAGTCCTTATATGGCCCTGCAACAGTAATAGAATAGTAATATGTTTCTGCTTTTTCCAAACAATCCCACAATAGTTGTTGAAAACTGCACAGGTAAAATATTTTAATTACATTTTTTTTTATTTTCTTTATAAATAGAAACTTTGTGGGAAAGAGTTATTTTTGCTCAACTTCTTTACAAATTAGCTTACTTTAAATGTTCACCTTACATACAGTATATTTTTTTTAACAGTATCTCAAGGTTTGGGCTGTACATACAGGGAGTTAACAACAAGCAAAGCTGATAACCTTTGCCTTTAGTCATTGGTTCCTATTTTGCTTCATAGGAATTTTCTATGGTATGAGTCTAAATATAAAGTACATATACTTAAATTCTCTTAACAAAGAAAAAAAAACTAACAACACTTAGATTACATTTAGATACAGAAGATGTGCCAATATTTAAAGACTAAATGTAACCCTTACAAACTGTTTTTTGTTTTTCATAGATCTTGGTCAGTTTAGGTGTGTAAAAGCAGAAGACATTACATCCTGAGGACAGTGAAAGCTGCAGCAGAACAGTTCTGCAGGCTCACATGTTCTGGCAGGAGCAGGACTCCTGCCAGAACTTCTCCCCTGTGTTGCTCTCTCCTTGTTCTCCTGTCTGAGTAGACAAAGAAGGGCTGAAAGCACTGCCAACAGCAAACAAAGTTTCAGCTTACACACATCTGAAAAACCCCATAAACCTGCCTGATTTAAGAATTTTCTCAGGCAAAATCCTGAAAATGTCAGTGTTTTTATGATGCTAAAACTTTAAAGCGACCAATTTTAAAGCAATGTGGATGCATATAATTTTTTCATGGTTGAAAGCTTAGCTGTGCTAAGGCTAAACTGCATGTATATTCTGTTGTGATTGTTTCTGCACTTTTGCTTTCCATTTTTTATGATTTCTGCAGTTTTTTTTAATCCTAAAAAAGCTTCTATACATATACAAGTATATGTATAGAACAAATATTCAAATCTTTATTTACATTCAGTTAAAATGGTTACAGTGTAGACCCATTCTTAAGTGTGTTTTCTGTTTCAGATATTGCTGCACTAAAGGCTTTTAGCAGGATTTAGATCTGGGGGCTGAGGTGGCCATATAAGGTTAGTTTTGTGTCTAATGAGCCAATTCTGTACTGATTTGACCATGTGTTTTGGACCATCTTTTTTCTTATTATTTAGGATCGACTGTGAATCAGTGGGAGGAGTAGCTGTCTTGCTTTATGCAAGCTGTTACAGTAGTTACCGGTAATTTCAGGTTCCAGGCACCCTTTGTTGTAGTCAAGATATCTCACCCTAGTTATCCACCTTTGTTTAAATCTCACTCCAGTGTAAATAGTTTGAAATATTTTGGCATTAGTGGAAAAAGGATAGATTATTTCATTCGATTTAACACTTTTATTTAAAATATCCTAGTATTTTAAAACTTTATTAAAGCTGTGCAGTTAGTTAAGGTGTCCAGGTATTTTTGAATAGAACAGGCCCTCAGCATTAAACACCCTCCAACATACTTGATCTCTTATTCTCTGCTTATCAAAACACAAAGCTGAATCCGAGCTAGGAAGCTTTCTGCATGTAGCCTACATTTCACTATGTCCACCTGTGGGTTCTTTTTGGGAACTTTAGCTACCTCCTGCAGTAAAAAAAAGAAAAAGAAACACAACGACCAGACTCTTTGGTTTATCTTGGTTTTGCATATGAACGTGTGTGCATGGTTGTTATCTTTGTGTGAACCTGTTGTGCACTCGTAACCTGTCTGGCTGTTCTCTGCCCTTTGGACAAAAAACTGGTGAAAATAGGCACTAGTCCTTCTGCAAGGACAAGTAGGCATAAACAATGGACAGAAAAGTTAGAAGTTGAGATAATTTCTCTAAAATCCCTCGTATAAATGATCTTAAAAATATGGGTGTGGGTTGTCCTCTAAGTATCTCTTGATGGTATGTATAATCTATGCCCCCTTTTGTTTCATCCAAATAGAAAATTAAATAAGGCAATTCTTTTGCTTCCAATAATCCTTTTCTGAAGCCACATCAAAAAGAAAGCTACTTCCAGAGACCTCAGTCACCTCAGTTGTGTGTTTAGTGTTATAAAGACTATTGAGGTTGTAGAAATGATCATAGAACTTTTATTTTGTTAAAATTTGCACAATTGTTTTGTTTAGTATCTCCAGTATTTGTGAAGAAACATGATATTAAACACAGAAGGCACTTATAAAAAACTGCAAATTAAGAATGCTGCTTCTAAAACCATTAAATTCCCTATTTAAAATAAAAAAGCAGTTACAACATAATGACAGAATGGCCAAGACAAGAAATTACAGCACCGTTGATAATTTTAAACAGAACATTTCAAATAAAAATTTAGCATGATTTAAAATCTACAGTACATGAAATAGACTTATCAGTTTAATAATGCCCAAGCTATGTTTATAAATGGAACCTAATCATAAAGACAAACTTAACTCAATGGTTTGTATTGTTTTCACTAGTTGGAGGCTCAGTATATATATATTTATATATATTAGGCTCTGTGGTCCTGGTACACCTCCACCAGGCGAGTGGCCTCTCTCTGCCCTGAGAGCAAAGCACCATGTGTAGTGGAATAGTACTTTCTGTGGGTGGCCTCTCCAGCAAACAGGACCTGCAGTGGCTAAGAAAGGAGCAACAGAAAGCGGGAGGGGGAAGAGACAAAAAAAAAAAAGAAAACATGTTAATGAAAAAGGGAAAAAAACACATCAGTATCATCTTGACATTGGTTATGGCCTTCCCACAGGGACTGCCTTCTATATCTGTTTCCCTTGTTAGCACTTAGCATGTCGAAGCCCTGCTGGAGCTATCTTGAGTGTGATTTCAGCTTGGCTGGCCTAAAGGACTCTCAGCAGAGAGAGGTCATGCTGTTCTTTCCACAGTGTCAAGTGTACACGAAGAACCCCCATCTCCTCTCCTCCCACCAATCAAACACACCTCCAGCTCCTTTTCCCCTTCACCCAGAATTATCGGGTTTCATGTTTTCTGAACACAGATATTTCAGCTCAGTGCTTTCCAAAAGAGCAGTCATGTCATTTTTCAACTCTTAACTGTGTATTTTATTAGCATGTTGTATCATCAGAATCAGAAATACTTTAATACTTTATCATTCACCATTTTACAAATAAAAATCTGAAGGTTTTGTGATTTTGGATTTTATTCAGTTACTCTGCATCCTTAAATCTATACTGAGTGAACCATATCTTGATGCAATCACATGTTAGTCTTTTATGGAAATATCTGTTTTATGTTTTTTCTGTACAGGATAGTCCAGGCTCAATTTGATGGAGTGCATCCTAAGTAGAAATCCCCAAGCATTCCACAAATTGGTGTTAATATTTGCCTTTGACTGAGCCATTCTAATGCATTTTGATTTTAAAACTTTGCATTATAACTCTAGCTGACAGTACTTGTTTTGCAACATCTCTAACATTTCCGATTTGCTCCTTTGTCCTGAGATGCTTCTAATGTTCTCTGATATGAGGCCTTCTCAGATCAGCTGAATTTATACTGAGATTGGCAATTGAGCAACACTTGGAGTATTTATGTTTAATGCAATCTTAAAACTAACTTAAGCTTTTAAGGTGACAAAATGGGTAACATATTCTGAATATTTTTGCTACTGATATAAAAATAATTTCCATTTGTAGAATGGGAATCCTCTCACCTAAAAAAGGCCTCTCTGAGAGCATGGCAAATGAGCAAAGCAATAAATGTTCTTAAATTAGGTTTTGCGTAGTTGTCTTACTGGAGCCTTGGTGCTGTTTGCATAAGGCAGTGGCATGGCCAGCCTCTCACAGTCTTCTCCACTGGACCCAACCCTGGTGAAGGAGTAGGAGCCTCGGATGTAGGGGTTGCTTCCCCAAGATGAGCGCAGGATACGCCTGGGCTTTGGAATGTCAGGATTTCCTATTGACAGAAAAGGTGCAGGGAAACAGTCAACATAGATACTGCAGAGGGTTTGCACAAATAATTTAAAGTTGGCTCTCCGTACCAGAGAACTATCTGCTGCTAGAAGAGGAGCAGATTTATTAGCCGGTAACTCAGACAGCCAAGGAGTGTTTCACATCTCGTGTATTTGGACAAATCAGACCCAGTGAGCAGATCAAAGGTGTAAGGGAAATATGTGCTTCATTTTTCAGGGTTTTATATCACATGTTAATAGAAATAACTACCCCAAAAATAGGAGAACTAATCCTTAATGTTTGCCTCCAATGACCTAAAACACAGAATCATTAACCTGTAGTCAAAGCAAGAAAAATACATGAGCAACCTCTTCATTACGAAAACTAAATACATGTGCCACCTATATAATTCATTGACTACAGACTGTGGATATAATTTGCTGATATAGTTTTAGAGTAAACAATCTCAAAAGGTGTCAGGTGATTTATTACATCCCTAAAATCAGCAAGAAAACAGCTCTGAAAGCAGATTACATAAGGGACCTTTGTAATCTGGACAGCTTAGACAATCATGTCACTGTGGGGGAAAATAGATTTTGAAATAACTGCAGCCTCGTTGTGACTAACATATTAGTACATCCCATGGGCAAGGCCCATTGAACAGACAAAAGCGTAGAGTTAGGAGCGGAGGTTGTTTAAATTAAGCTTTGTGGGTTTAGAGTCTAATTGTGAGGCCACATGTAATCAAACAAGAGCTGAATAGATAAAATCACCCTGACCTACAGGGAGAGTGTGTGTTAGGGAAAATGGGAGAGAGAGCGACATTTTTTCTATGTTTAAACCACATTATACATAAATAGGAAGTGCCCTAACCTCAGCGTGACGTGACACCCACTGCCTCTGTACTCAGACTCTGACCTAGTTCAGAGGAAGCAGACAGACTTGGGAGTCTTCTGAACTTCCTTCCCCATCTACTGCCAAACGGCGCACTGTAAATCAGGATGGTGATCAGGTTACATGCCGTGTTATAATCACCTTGGAGCTGTTACGCCACTTTTCCTCGTGTTTACCCTCTCTGTTAGAGTACATTGAAAGGCTTGTGTTATCTAATTGGTGATCAATACCCAGAGTGACAGAGGAGACCTGTTTTATCAGATATCTAGAGTGTTTAGCAAAACTTCCGGTGCCACTTCTGTGTTATTTGGGCTTTCATGACAAAATTAAAGTGAGTGTATTTTTGTTTCATAGGACAGACAACAGAATAATGGAGCAAGATTCATACAAAAGTGGTTAGAGGGGAGAACTAAATGAGAGTTATATTGTTTTGTTTTTTTTCACAATTAAAATCTGGGTTCAAGTAGTACTCAAGTAGAATTTCCTTTCCCTGAGTTTGCAACTAGAAGTCTTTTTAAATATGTTTGCACATTAGAAAAAAAAACTTTTTTTTCTCTCTCTTTGTAAAACAGCTAAAGTTGACTAAAAAGAAAGCATCTGGGGAAATGAACGTTAGCCTTGCCACATTCTCCTCTACATTTGATTTATGTTTGCTGTTTGACTGGGTCGTCTAACACAATATGCTTTGCTCTAAACATTACCGTTGTAGATCTAACCCTCTATAACAGTTTTTTGTTCCAGAATTGCCCTCAACTGAGTTCAATCCTTCTTTCAATCAAGTTGGAACAGCCTTCATTTGTCCCTGCTGAAGAGAAACCCTCCCTCACAGAGAGGAGGTGTTTAGGGAGATATGTAGGTTTAGTTTTCTGCCACCCATTTACATTTTGGTGTCATCTGATCCCCAAGTTGTTAGTTTTTTCCTACATGTTTTTTTTTTTAGCAAAATGCAAACTGTACTTCCTGCCACTCTTTCATAAAGACCAGATCTCTTGGCAAATAGTCAACCTGTCAAAAGATTCTTCCACCTGAGTTGTGGACCTCCAGATTTTCTAAAGTTTCTTTTATAATCGAACTTTTGAGTTCTCCCTGATCTGTATTTACTAGACTAAAACAACCTCTCTTGGTGCCTTCATTAGAATGTTTGTATTTAGATAAGGATTAAATTGCACATAAGTGGATTGTATTTAATAATTTAACCTTCTCAGGGCATAGTATGGCTGAATCATTCGGCTGTTTAATCTTTCTAACATTTTTCTCATTCACAGCTGCAGTTCAAGCCTTAGCTAGTCCCTGACAATGACCTTGTCACGCCTTGAAACGTCACTGGGCTGAAATTTTTCATTCTCAGCCATCTCAGGTTACTGTGTTGGTTTTAGATGACTGATTTTGACCAAAGCTTGTGTAGAGGGGTGCTATATCATAAATTGTGAAAGCAGAACATCAAATAATACCCAGCTCATTTTTCCTCTAATTAGCATGCCCTGACCTGTAAAGCGCCTCAGCAGCTCAGTGCAGGTTTCTGCCACCGTTTCGTCATCGCACCGCTCCATCTGCAGCGCTTCCTGGCCACAGATCCAGCCACTTAGCATGTATCCATAGCGCTCAGGTGGGTAGAGGACATCGAAGCTGCAGATTTTCTTGTACCACAACTCCTCAGGGTAGGCCAGCTGTTCCAGCTGAGCCTCATCCTCCCACACAAACTGGATGCTGTTGCACTCTGGGCTCCAGAAGGGCTCCTCGAACTCTAGGAAAATCTTGTCGGTGGTGCTGATGCCCAGCTTCTCGATGGCGAGCACCTTGTCTTCAGGAAGAGATGGGGAGAACATGACCTCGTGGTTCTGCTTCAGCACACCGAGGGAAGCTGTCACGATGACGTGGTCTGCTGGAATCCACTCCTCGTCCTCGCACTCCACCCAAATAGGCTGACCCAGGATCAGGGGGTCGTTGTTCTGTTGGTAACCATGGTTGTTGTCGTTGTGGTCGCTGTCCCTCTTGGTGTCCCTGCTCTTGCCGATGACCTCACGATGCTGAGCTGAGTAGTTCCAGTGGATGCAGCGGACTGGTTTGCAAAGGCAGATGGTCTTAGATGGGATGTCCCGGGCCAGCAGGTCCACGATCTTCATGAAACCTTCAGGAATGACGTAATGTGCCCCAGGGATCTCTGTCCACTCCCCAAACTCACTCAAAGACACCTCATCCATGCTGGGAGAGCTACTTTCACAGCTTTCCACCTTTATAGAGAGAAAACATGTCAGATTGAGTTATATTACTCAATAACAAATGTGCAAACAGCTAGATTCCCTTTAAAGGAACATTTAAGTGTAATGGAACTCCTACAGTAACAGCCGCAGGCCCAAAAAAAATTATTCAAACATGTCAGAACACGTGTTAGTCCAAGAGGTTACCAATGAAAAGATGGCTTCTTGTAAGCTGGAGACAATAAAGAGTCAAAAACTACAGAGTTGTGAACCTATTTTTGCCCCTTACAGATTTTGCTTGTTTAAAATGTTTTAATCGTTTTAAACAAGCAAATAATAATATCTAAGCTCTTTTTTTTTTTATCAGACACAGACGATAATAGTAGATACAAAAAATTAGTTTTGGAACAATGCTTTCAAATAAAAAGGTAACCAACTGGTAGTAGTTTAAAAATCAATTGCTAAGTTTTTTTTTTGGTTGTTTTTTATTACTTAGATGTATCTTTTGACCCATAAAATTATTTTACAGAAGCCATAGTGATGATCAAGATGTTTCTTTTACCTGTTGCATTTAATGTTTTCGGTTTGGTCTTGAAACTCGGCCATTGATCCCAGTTTAGCCTAGTTTTTTTAACTGAGGCCTTTTGGGGCCCGAAGTGCTTTAGACAGAAGTGACCTTCCAGGTTAGTCCTTGTAACCCTTTTTCATATTTTTGTGTTTAGTTTTTTTTTTCTTTTTTTTTTATTATCTCATGGTATAGTGTCTTTTTTTATTTTTTTTATTTAGACATTTTAGCTAACTTCATTTTGTCAGACATGTTCTATTTAACTGACAGGTGTGGTAGGAATCAGACCTCTAAGTAATCGTTTTAAGCATATTTTATTTCATGGTATTTAAGAATAAAGCACGAAGGCCCACTCTTTGGAAAACACACACCTTGAGGTATTGTTGAAGCATGGAGAGTTTGAGTTTCTTGGTGCTTTCGGAATCATCGGGGTCCACCATAATTCTCTTACGCACCAAGTCTCGAGTAAAAACGCCGACGCTGTTCTGGCTTTCAGCACAAACTGGCTTCCCGTTCTGGAAGAACTCCTGAGTCAGCTCGTATACCTAAAGGAGGGCAGAACACAATGAGAGAGGAAAGAGAAGGAGGAAGGGTGTAAAGAAAGAACGAGGAGAACGGTCAAAACAATTTAGGACAAGAAATTTTCAAATATGGCAACCGGAAAAAGCAGTGCGCTTATGAAAGACAAAGGAGCAGTCAAGTGTGAACCAGGTGTGGGCTGGTAACCCAGCTTAAGATATAGTCAAATAAAAAAAAAAATGGGTGACTCAAAAGTGGAGATAAAATCATAATTAACTGTAATAACCCATATATTATTAAATACTTAGATTATATTGTATCTTTTTGTCTAGAAATTTGTATTTAAAGTATCAATACCATAAATCTATAGTATTTTCACTAACATGACTCATTAATGACAGTAGAAATACTGTTGCACCAGCATGACGAATGCTTCTTTTTTTTCTCTGTCCACACCTTTTCCTTGTACTAGAATCAGTTATGCCTCATCATGTTTGAGAAGAAAACAGCTTCTATTTAATGAAGCTGGATTTCACAGAATTCTGCACGTTTCACTGAACAACCAAGTGAGGGACTAAAGCTGCCAGATGCATGATGTATTGCTTCCGGTATGCATATTTTGAAATGTGTTTTTCATACCCCTATTTATTCAGCTGGACAAAGAAAAGATGACGTACAGCCATTAATGAGATTCCAATGCTGTCTGTAAACGCAGCAACTCCTCTCTGTAATTACTTTGTCAGACATGACCTATTTATATAACAGAAATCCTTCATTACATATACAAAGGAAATGGTAGAAACCGCAAACTTAGAGCGAGGATTACCTTGATTACCTTACCTTACCTTAAAAATCACATTTTAAATTTATTTACAAAGAGATTGAGGAGTGTCAGATTTTAAATCTAAAATAAGAAAACATATCAATACTTTCTTGTTTCCCAACACATGATTGTATTCCCAACACGATTCACAATTTGCATCTGTGGAAACGTTCCTTTTTAAATTTTAAACAAAGGTTTGGAGATTAGACAATGTTTTGCAGCGTAGCCACCTACTTTAAAAGTAACCAGTGACCTTGATAATCTGCTTACTGCAACGTGACTGCCTGCAGAGAGGTCTTTGTGATATTAACAGACAGTTTTTTTTCCAGTTGCTTTGGAGGGTAAAGCAGGCACAGTACAATTTGTGCATGGAAATGTGAATTCAGATGTGCATCCATCCCTGTGTCGTTTGCGCTAACCTCATTGTACAGGTCACTGAACTCCTCCACCAGGTCCTTGGGGATCCTTTTGCCCACATTAGTCTGGTAGTGAGCCACACCGTTCTTGGTGTACAGGCTGATGCGTCCCACACTCCTCTCTCCATCCGTGGTATGCTCCAGCAGCCCATTTTCCTCTGCCAGGTGGTACACTGGGTTCCCGTTGGCACCATGAATCCAGGTAGCTCCAAGTTCCAAAGTTGCTTTTCCTTAAACAAAATCGAAAAACATTTTTATTGAATTACTGGAATACAGTGCCTACCCAAGGGCACTGCAAGTTAAAGTGCAAATAGCTCAGTTCTTCTTTGATTTCATTACCAGTTTCTTTCACTATTACTCGCACAATATGCAGGTAGATGGTGTTCTCTACTTGTTTGTTCTTGCCACTTGATAGTATTTTATTAGGAAAAAATCTCCCCTCTGATGCAACACCTGCACTATAGCTGCTCTTTGAGGGGGAAACACAACCAGAACCAGAAAGGTTTATTCTTTGGATAAAACCCATGTTTTTAAACTTCTTTTAGTTCATAACTTTTTACATGTCCTCAGTCACACATAATCTTCTATGAATTAAACCTCAATTTCGAATTGTTAGAATTTGTATAGGTGATTCCTGAGCGGTTTTCTAAATTTTAAACCTTTGTCCCAACTGCTTACCAATTAAAAAAAAATCACCAACCCAAAATGGGAATAGATAGTATTAAGTTATATCTTCATAACATATTCCCCCAAAGACAAACTGGTCTCAGTTGTTATGTGAAACGTTTCTTCACAACCTGTGTTCAGAATGTTCTCTGGTAAACTATTTCTGAGAAAAGAACAATAATTAAATGCATTTTCTGTCTGCTTCAAGCTACTGTTCCCAAGCTAAGTCAATAAATGGTGTTATATTAGAGAACAGACAAAGGGAGAGTTAATTATTTAGGGTTTTTCCCAAAGGGATGATACAGTTCTTTCATATTGGTGTTCTAAAACATATTTCTCTGTCGATTTTTTATTTTTCAGTTGCCCTTTAGCTAAGAAATGCTAACGTGTGTTAAAGATTTGCTTTGTGTATACACCATGAAGCTCTATCTCTCTGTCTTGTTTTTTCTGAAAAGAGATCACTCGGGAACACTTTAAATAACACTTCATAACTTACATGTATTAAATAAGATATAAATCTATATATTATATATCTATAATTATTTATAAAATTAAATCAATAAATTAAATTATATAAATAATTATCCTAACAGCTGGTCGCTAACAAATAATAGCTCAGAATTAGGTGTTAATGCTAACCCCACATGCATTCCATAATGTTATTCTTCATATATGTCTCTTATGTATTTCATTGCACCTGAATGAAAAAAAAATAAAATTTTATATATATATAAAAATAATATAAATAATATAAGGGCTTGGAATCCTGAGGTTGTGAGTTCGAAACCCACTCCCACAGACTGCTACTCTAGGCCTCTGACCTTTAACCCCCGATTGCTCCCCGGGTGTTGCACATTTGCAGCCCATTGCTCCCCAAAGGGGATTTGTTATATTTATATATATATGTTCATCAGCTCCTGTTTGACACTACTAACTTGGTGTTTGGGTCAATTTGTATTTTTTCCCAACAATGTTGCCATAAGCATGAAATTTAACTAAGATTAATGAATTTATTTTTCTTTTAGGAAGTACTTCCATGAATTATATAAATGGCTGTGAAATTAATCACATTTCAGGTATGAATCAGTTTTAATATATTCTGGGGGTTTTGCACAAATTTCCACAAATAAACATGGCAGTTGAAAATTAATGTTTCATTGGTACAATATTTCCTGTGGGAAATTGGTTCACATTGTAACCAAGGAAATCCAACAGATATAACCAAAAGAAAAACATTTTCAAAATGATAAAAAGGTGAAGCGACCAGCGCCCTACTGACTGACTCATCTTCTAAAGAGCATCAGTCAAACAGAAACACATCCTCTCACCGTTGTTAACACTTTGAACTCTCCCACCGACGTGGTCTGAAGCTTCTAGGACCGTGACATCCGTGAATCCGTTTTTCAGTAGGACCCTTGTTGCAGCTAGGCCGGCCAAGCCAGCACCAATTACTACTATTCGAGGCTGTCGATGAGAGCGAAGGCCGCTACTAAGAGGATCATCAGTGCTATCTGAGGAAATTTCACAACTTTGCATGCCGTCTAAGCTCTTCTTCGGTAGACTCTGAGGGAGACAGATACAAGCAGAGTTAGTACGAACAGCACTGTATATCTGGTAACACACAATCTCTCTGTTAGCAAATTAACTAATATTGATATGAAGTTCTACAGGTGAGCTTAAAATTATTACGATCCTTGACATTCTTGTGGTTTAAGTGTGAAATTTGCATTTGAGTTAATGAGTCGATGCAATCAACTGGTTTTCCTTAGATAGAAAACTTTGAATCAATTTGACTGTATGATCTGGTTGAATTGTATCTGTAAATTGCCTTGAGATGACTTGTGTTGTGAATTGGCGCTATATAAATAAACTCAATTGAATTGAATTAAGTAAACTTTTAATTTTGCTGACTTATATTTTTTTACTGTTATTTTTGGACCAGCCAATGCAGAATCCTGACCTGAATCTGTAGAGGGAGCTAAATATTAGGGTGATGATAAGGAGGCCTTTCAAAGGAGATGAAGCCCTTTGCTAATGGAAATGCAAAAAGCTGGTCAGCAATAGAAAGAAGGGTTTGGTTGCAGTACTACCAATTAAAAACATAATTGATTGTTGAGAAAATGAAGCATGTAAATTCGAAATAGCATCATTACTTGTTTTGTTTTTTACGTCATGTTAGTAAATTTTTAGTTTCCTGTTTAATTTTCTATTATATTATCTAAGGAAATAATTTAGGGAAATGAATTGTACCTTTGCCAAATGAATTAACATTTTTATTTTCATTTTCTGTACAATTACTTAAATATAATCAAAATTTATATCTTTTTCTTGCATATAATTGGCTTTGAAAAACAAGACGACTGATATTTATCCTGAATATCTTTGTTCAGTCAGTTTATTTATTCTACATGCTAAATCTTACTTTAATATACTAAATTGGATGGCAGATCAAACTGCAATACAAAGTGTTTACTGTTTTTAAAGTCATTAGCAATGTTATTTTTTGCATGCAGGGTCAAAAAACATAATTTGATCTAATTTGAAGCTGTCCTGAGCTGCTTATCAAGCCTCAACTACAAGAGCCTCCTTTGCTGCCTGTTGGCAGTCAATTTACAATGACCCACACTTACTCGCTTTATTACAGTCATTAACTTAATTAAGAGCCTTTGTTTCATGACATGTTTGCATTGCTTTGTCTCCTGGCTCTGTATTACTGTTTATTAAGCATGAGACCAAATTAAAAGGTCCTTGAAGAACCATGTTATTTCTGTAAGAGAGCAGAGTGTACACAAAAGAGAATCATTTCTTATTACAGTCTCCAGAATAACAGAGATCTCTGAGGAAGAGAGAGAGAGATGCCACTTTCCCCAGTAAAGAAAGAGCACACAGTCAACCTTGTTGTTCCAGCACAAGGCTGTTTCCTATAAATGCATGGACAACTATGTGTAAAAAAACAAAAAAACAACTAGAAGGCATTTTAACAAAAATATAACACAGGCTTTTACTTACCACTAACATTAGAGCCTTTTGTCAAAGAATTACAGTAGTCATTATAAACAAACATTGTATGTGTTAGAGTTTTAAGATAAACCTGCTCTGGTAAGATCAGACAGAGGCAGAAGCAAATTAAGCAGCTGTGTTTTCTAGATAATTGGTTTCATTTCCATTTTGTGTCATTGTAGTTGTTTTCTGGTTGTATTTGAGTTCTTATGTATTTGTTGTCTACTGTATTACATGGACATATACTGTCTTTATTATATACTTGTATGTCTGAAATAAATTAATACTCTCTGTTGCCCCCTTGTGCCAGTCTACTTCCCCTAGCTCCCTTCTAGATCCTTCAGTCCACACCTGCTCCCAATCAGCTTATTGCTCCACTTTTTGTTCTGTTAGGCATTTACGGTATTCTCCTCTTCTGCATTTACTGTTTGCTGGATTCTCTTCATTCTTTCCTTAAGGCATGGGTTCCCATTTGTTCTCATTCCAGTGTTACTTGATCAATTATTTTATGCTTCTGTTGCCACCACTCCTAATTAATTCTGCAACAAAACACCTCAGCTTCCATCCCTGCATTTCGGTCCTCTACAAACCTCCACACAACCTGACACAAGTGATATCACCACTAAAATAAACAAGTAAACCTAAACACATTTTATAACAGTTTTTTTTTTTCTCTAAACATTGAATCATATTTCAAAATATTTGCTAAATAAATCCTTTAAAAACTAATACAAAAGTTAGTTTTTTAATAAATTTTTACTAATAGTCAACTTTAAACAAGAACACAGAGCAAATGATGAAACATTTAAAGGAAAGTTGATGGGACTTAACTTTCAGTGGGCCTCTGAATCTAATTCTGTTCAGTGCCCCATTACAGTCTTGGAATGGCTTCACATTTGATAAACTGTGTTTTATTGCGATCAGAAATATTTAAAAAAGTAAATTATAACCTCAATGTTCATCTAAAGTTATATGGATTCAGAGAATTAGAATTTTCACACCATCTTCCGATATGTTTACTACTAAAATGCATCTTGAAGTATTTCTAAATGATGTACAATATAACTTCCTTGTGGAAAAGACAGCGTTACTCATCTGATCACCACAGAAACATTAAAACTACAAGCCAGGAATACAAGAGAACAAATGTTAAAACCACTCTGTAAAGTCAAAATGAGAACATAATGTCAATTATTACGAAGAAGCAAAAAGGTTTACTGTAAATAACTTCCTGTTTGAAACTAGAGTTTCATTTCAACATATGGGTTAAACCCAATAATCTGCTGGCATCAGCAGGTAATGTTTCCTCTGTAGGACAGTAAAAAAAAATGGATAAAGTGCAAAACCAATTAATGATACTGAAAACAGTACTTTTGCTGATGTATACACTAATGGATCATGTGAATGCTTTAGTCTATATTTCTCTAAGAAAGGATTCTCTTGTTTTATTATAATATACATAAAGCTATAAACAGGTTCATTTTAAAAATTAAAAAGCTATTAGCAATGTGTGATTTAAAACATCTTTTGAGCATATGTATGTGAATTTAGCTGAGCCTCTGTAGCTTAAGCTTTAAACAACCTGATAAATAATACAATGTTATCAGTTTACAAATGTTATCAGTTGTGTCACATTCTTTGAAAGCAGCTCAGTCATTAATACTTTACTCATGAAATCTCTGCTACATGCGGAAAACGCCGGCCAGCATCTGACGTTGAAATGTTGAGCACAACAACAACATGAATAGGTTCTTTCTTGGGCTACAAAGAACAGTAAATATGGGGATGATACTAGACTCTGTGTTCCTTAGAAACAGCAGCATGTTTATAAAGACATCATCGAAATTTAAGGGTGTAGCTCTTTATAAAAAAGGCCTTTGTCAGTATTAAATTTGGCCGAATGTTTTGTGGAGTTTTTTTTCTAAGGAAAAAAATGGTGCTGCAGGTAAAACATGCATGTTAGTTTTTATAATTATTGTATTGTATTCATTGTCCCACAATGGGGACATTCACTCTCTGCATTTGGCCCATTGGAGACTGATGTCTCAATTTATTTTGTGTGTATGAAATGCAGCACCTCATCAACATGTCATAGTTGTTTTGATTGCATAAAAGCTAAAGAACAAAGGTTGATAAATTTGAAGAATTTAGGATAATAACTTTGCCACATTGAAATCCTTTTAATGACTTTTTCATCTGTAATGGTTACATTTAGTCTTTTTTTTACACAGTAGCATGAGTCACATAGTCTAAGAGAAAAATGTAAAAGAAATCTCTTTTTTTTCTCAATATAATAATCTTACGTGATATGATATTCAGAGCAATCAGCCTTTGAGCCTTTGATACAGTGTTCTGACAGATTATGCATTCCTTCCTGGTTGCTTGTAATTCCATGGTTGGTTAATACAGTCACCACATGTCAGCGGCTGTACGCTTTACACCAGTGCCACAGATTAATGTGTGGGCTGGCCCTGGTTAGACAGACGGCTGCGGCTGAACAGGGAGAAGAAAGAAAGAAAGGGAGGGGGGGTTGGATAACACTGACCTAGAAATGGCAATTTACAGAACAGTGAGTCTGCCATTGGACTCTAAAAGAGCCGCGCTGGCCTTCAGCAGGAACCCTTTAAATGACTGTGTCTGAGCTCCTGTCTCTCATCAAAACTGCTTTCCCTCCCTGTTTTCACCAGAAGACACAGTTCTCTCCAGCAGCTGTGCTCACACGTACTCTGTAAGCCCTGTGAGACTATGGGCACAGAAACAGACGTCTCTTCATCCCTGCATGTAAAAAGATCGCAGTTTAGTCTTGGGGATGCATGCCAAGGGTCAGACATTCCTCACTTGTCTCCCTGCTCTGATTTTCCCATGCTGGAGCGATCAAGTGGAAGCACGCAAACGCACATGTGCACTTCCCAGCTGTGCAACAGTGCACCACACGGGTTGTTCCCCTGATGTGTACTGCTGAATTAGACAGAAAAAGAAAGAGGATTTTGTGAGCAGTCTTGGTTTCCTCAAAGTAGGAGCTGGAGACTATGCTAATGCTACACACTTCTTAGGATGCCCTTTACTGATACTAGAGTTTGTTCTTCCTCATAACGTAATCACTCCACAGCAACCTTTGACTGTGTTATCATCCAACCTGTGCTTTCTTTCTTTTATGCTTTCCCATCTTTCTCGACTTCCTGCATGGAAATATGAACATTTTTGAAATTCTTGAAAAATAAAAAATATATATATATATATATTTAAAGGATTTGAACTAAAATAGCAAAATGTAATAGTTGTACCAATTTTGAATGTTGTATGGTATCAGCTTTTATCATGTGATACTTTCAATACACATGTTATACACGATGTATGATTAATCTTTTATTTTGAAAATATTTTGTTGCCTGTTTAAAAAAAAGCTTAATTTTATTACTTTACCTGTACAAATACCTGTAAAATCAAGTCAAATAAAAATTGTAGATGGCCTTCAAGGTCCAACCACATTTGGGTTATTGAATTTAAATATGATAAACCATTAACAGAAATGCATTTCCTGTTTTTGTTTTTTTTTTTTCAAATGCGAAACATCTCAAAATCAATTTGCATTTTGAGTGAATTCTCTTTTCATTTTAAAACTAACAACAATCTTAAACCCCCCACCATAAAACGAAATACTGACCCATTTTTTCATATGATGCACCGCTGATACTATAAGCATTTACCTGTAGGGGGTGCTGCTTCCACTTTACAGTATTTAAAAAATTAAAAATATCGAATAATCACATTTAAAGCTCATATTTAAAAAAGTTCAGTTCAACATGCTTGATCCGAATATGAGACCCATGCTAGAGTTAATCTGTGATATCACTTTGCTAGGGATTATTTATTATTAATCATGGGCAATAAGGAATGTGAAATCAATCCACAATGTTTTGTGGTATATCTTGCGTTAAATTGATGTCAAATGAGCTCTACAAAAACAAATACTGCTATTAAAACTAAAGCTTACCCAGTTGTAAAACTACATCAATCATATTAACGTTTATTAATCCAATGTCATCAGCCCACAGAGACCCACAAGTCAAATAAACATGCAGGCACACACACAATCACACAATGTTTAATAGTCAAATGAATTTGGAGTACCTGGAAAGAACTCTTGCATTCACAGAGAGAACATGCAAACTGCATAGAGAACTACCATCTGAAGGAACCCCAATTCAGGACCTTCTTGCTGCAGGGCAACAGTGTTACTATGCCACTTTGAGAACTGAATTTGCCTTAAACAACACACAGGATGTGTATCCAATCAGATCTTTGTTAGTATTATAATGTATTGAAACACAACAAAAAGATACAGTTTTAGGATTGCAGTCATCAACAGTTATGGTACATAAAAGGAGACATCCATACCATTAAAACCCTACAGCTGTAGAATACTGGGTGTTCCAATACTTTTTCATTTATACATTACATTGTACAAACAAAACTTCTTGTATTTCAATTATTTCGTTTTTAGTTTTAAAATAAAAAAATCTGATACATTTTTTTCTTTTATTTCTGCATTAGGTCAGCTCCTTTTGAAAAAATAAAAAACAGCCCTAAGATTAAAGGAAGTATTAAAACAGAAAAATCCGTCAATATCAGGTGACATTAAAAAAAAAAAATTAACATTATATTAACTGGAAATAACGGCTTTTATTTCTAATTCTTCAGATAAGTTTTTACTTTATTAGATTATTTTAACTATTACACCAAAATGCAGTGCTATAACTGTATGTATAAGCGCACTAAAGTGGACTGAAGAAACTTTTCCCAGCAGAATAAAGAAGTGAGAGCAGATCTGAGTGGAGGAACAAAGACAGCTGAAATCAGATGTTTCCTTTATGCTGCCTGACACAGCTGTGCTGTGAAAGCCTGCCACGTCTCTATAGGCAATGATGCCAAAGCGAAGCCCTTCACAGAGTTCATCTGAGCTGCGATGGTGACGTGACAACAAATAAACGCGCGTATAGAAGCATTATATTAAGACTGAAAAACTCCTTTTCTCTTCCAAAGCAGATCCTCTTTGTCCCGTTACACGCATCAGTGTTGCATATGTTCTTTTTTTGGTTAGAGCAGAGCTCGTTAATTCAGGCGTCCCTCTTTTGTGCGGCGTTTTTAGTGTTTACCATCGCAAACACCTGACTGACATTTGGTGGAAACGTGTAAACAAGCTTCTCTCCTGGTGTTTACCAGCCTGGGTTCAGCTCTCACCATCAGCGCCCCGCTTAATGAACAATAACTGGAGTGGATGTGACGTTAAACAGACTGACTGTTTACCTGACTCTCTTGGTCTTCTTCTGAGTTACAAAAAAAGCCTCAGAGTGCTCCTCTTCTCCTTTGTGCCTCTGTGGATCTCTCTCAGACCGGCTTGGCTTTGTATTTATGTCTGGAAACCAGAAGCAGCCAGTTTTTGCCCTGGCCGCTGCCTCCTCATTAATTAAACATGAGCAGTGATGACGGTCCAGACCCGCCCTCTGCTGAGTAAAGCCTGCTGTCACAGAGCTGTAGGCGCACTCATACAGATACACAAACATCCCAGCTGCCAGGCAAAACAGACCCCTTCACTTCACAATCAGATATAGATATATTTAAATGACCACTATTGTCTGTGCTGCACCAGAGGCTAAAACCATGGGAATATTTATAT